AAACATATCGAAGGCAGGCCCTCCGGCCTTGTTCTTCACTTTGCTGAAATCTTTGGTTGCCTTTCCTTTGCTGCTCTTGGCCCCCTTGCTCTTGGACAAAACCTGGCTGAGACCCAAATCCAAGCTGTGACATGGTCGTACCTCTCCAGAAAGCACGAGGATGCATAATATGTACCCATGCAAGGAGATCAGCAATCCTAGCCATGCTGTGGGACTTCACACTAAATTTCACGCTCCAGCATGGAAAAGCGAGCCTGCTCAGCACCGAAGCCATACACCCATTCTACATTTCAGTGTGGGCCATAGCATGATTATGCCAGGATCTTTAGCGTTGATCTTCGTAGTCATTCAGGCTCCGATCTGGGAAATTGAAAGAACTTGCAACCTGACATAAGGCTGTTTTTGGGTAATTATCCATCTACACTGCGATCTGCCTTCAGGTCAGGCGAAGTCACTCAAATTTTCCCCAAGGTCCCATGGTGACCTCTACGCTCCTGTTACAACCACCCCCCAACAGACCCCCCAAAGTATGCCCCTTATGTCAAATTTTGCACTATAGCCACGCGGAGTTTACGGTGTCGGGGCTTTTGATTATGGGGGAAGATTCCAGCTCCGTTTCAGGTGCCTTCGACTTCCTGGCCATGGCAGACGAAGACCTGCATGTGGGTTCATGGGTCGTGATACCTTCAGACGGCAGGTTCTGGGAGCCACGCTAGGGCTTCTAGGGGAGAATGCAAAGTTGTGTTTGTACGACTGGGTCGGCCAGTCATGGAGTTTCTTTTTGGGCATTTCGGGAGATGAGAACTGATTGCTACAGCATGTAAGGCGTTCCTAGGCGGTCCCCACATACGTGACAATGTTTGACAGCTCATCTGGGCTCTCAGGCAGGTGACTGGTGACCTCTGTGTATTCTGCGTGCAGTCTATTATCAACTTGTGGAGTCACAGACTGAAGGGTTCTTCTGGACTAGCTCAAGCCTCCATGACGACATGTGTCGCAAGCTTTTCCTGCCAAGGCGCCAGTCACACAATCCTGCACGACACAAATGCCACGCAGCGAACCATGAATTCAAAGGGCTAAAGAGAAAACCACTGCCGATGACACTGATTTAGCACAGGTGGCAGTTATCTGAATGTCAGAGACATCGAGTCAGCAAAGTTTCCATGCGCTAGAATCCCGTAGCCGGAACAAAACCTCTGGTCTTTGTCCCGGACCAGCTGACCAGCAATGCGATATCACGTTTATGCCTTCCCTTGCTACAAAACCTAACAGCGACCCTCAAAATTCTGACCATGTGTGCTTCTGCTTGCGTCAAAACACCACATGCTAAGACCTTTTACCCTTGGTTCGAGCTTTTCAACCAATCATAGCGTCTCAAATGCTAAGCTGATTCGATGTCAGAGGTATATGTGCTGCAGTCGAAAACATCGCGGCGGCGAAGCTATCGAGACCTCCTGAATGATAGACATTAAGCAAGCGGCTAGTCTCAGAGTACTACCAGCATGGCCACAACAACAGCAGGTGGATTCGATAGACCTTTTCAGATCACAGCCAAGCTGAACCTGATATGAAGAGCTAGAATCTAAGCTGGGAGATATGTTCATCCATCAGATCATGTAGCCATCCAAAGGATTGCAGCAAAAGATCGGGGACTAAGTATCACACGCCCATGCATGCCTTTGCACAGTCCCACAGAAGGATCCCTACGGAGCCCCTCCTCGATCCCAAATTTGCTCGTAATCATCATTGAGGCTACACTTTCGTGGTCTCCTGGGGGGTGATTCTCATGGAATACTGCTCCTACGTAGAAATCAAATGATCCTCACATAGTCCCTGCACAAAAATTATGTATGGCGCTTCCTCTCTGCAGACTATTGCTACTGGTTTGATTTCACTCGTGGACCTCACTGCCACCTTCTCGCGCAAACATTTTGAGCTTATATGATTGCCACTAGTGAAGAAATTTTATACGTCCGTGGCTACTGCTACAACTGAAAGCATCGAAGGGTTTTTCAGTGGAAGCGGTTTCCGATTGTGATGGTGTGATGGTGGCGTTGTAATATTAGAAACAATGGGATGGTGTGATGATGATGATGATGATGGATGGATGGATGGATGTATGTATGTGATAAAAGGTTGTAGAAGGGCGTGAGGTATCAGATAAGAGAACGGTGTGATGCTGGTCTGATGGAAGGTTGTCTGCAGGTCTGGATTACATGAAGGTCGTCATTAAGAATTGGGATGGATGCAGGTTTCGATGGTCTCCTGGACGGTCGTGGTGAGTTGTCGTGAAGTATCGGTTCTGCATGGTGAGCCTCTTACAAACTTTCATATGTTGTAATGCACAGGGTGCGGCTGGCGGAAGCTGCCGCACCTCACCAAAATGGCGCTGGCGCGTGTCGCGTCGTCAGAATTCTGCGTTAATTCGACCACTTGATAGTACCATTGTAGTACGGGTAATACGAAGAATACTAATAATCACAAGTAATAAAAACAGTAATACCGAAGAACACAATAAGCATAAGAATGCCAACAATAATGGTAACCGAAATATATACTAGTAATACTTCATATAATTCATAGAATGATGCTAATAAGAATCATCATACGAACAGCGATGGAAACCGTCATTAAAATCATTACAAGCTATATTGATAATAGCAATCATTTGGATAATGATCCGATCGCTATAGCAAGAGTAGCAATCACAATAATAATCATATTCATACCAATTTGGGTAGTAGGAATGATAGTAATAACAAGGGCAACAGTAATAATAGCAACAATACTAACAATTGTCATGGCAAAATCATCATACAGGTAACAATAAGAGTAGTTGTCGTGGATGGACGGAAAGATGTTTTGATGCCGCCTTTTGCCAAATGAGGAAGCAGAAAGTGTCGCCGTAAGGGCCTGCTTTTTGTGGTTCACGAAAATAATGAAGCTTGATCAAGCTTCAGAGATCGTGATGCTGTTGCTCCTTACCAGGCCCCCTCTTCTATCTGCAGGAATCCGGGTTACTTGGGGAGGGGCTGTGTGATAGTACCGGAAGGGACTCTAAACCCTGAGCCCTAAAGCCTAAACCCGCTCCTCTATCAAACTCTACCTCTTGACAACAGGAGGTCAGGCCCCCAAGCCGCTCGTCAACCAAATCTGACGTCAAGTGCCTGAAGTCCTGAAAGCCTACCCGCTGCTCGAAGTTATACGTCTCTTTTGTAGAGGGGTGGGGATTTGTAAGTTGCAATGGCTTCCTGGGACATGCTATTTCGCCATTGTAAGAATTCTGGTGTTGACCCTGCGCAGCCCGCAACCAAGAACGGATTAATGATCGTGACCCGCCCCTCCAGAGCAACAGATCTATATGACCGATGCGCCTTCCCTACCCACGTGCCGCAAGATCCTTAGGTCCTAAACCCCAAGCCCATGTGCCAGCGACAGGTGCTAAAGGACTTCAGGCTTCCTGCCGCCAAGTGCAGCCTTATCCCATTCCTTCTGCTCAGCGTGCATCAAAAATTGCCATCCAGCTGTGAAAGATGCTTCCTGGGTCATAAGTATGGCTCCATTGAACCTTAATCTGAAGATGGACCCTGAAACAGGACATCCATTTTTTTTTCGGTGTGTGCATAGACTTCTTGATCTGTGCAACTGCAGCCGATTATGACCCAGCTTCCAGGCTACGGGAATCCAGGATGCTTTCGGAAGGAGACGCCCACAACGCTCCAAAGCGTTAATCTGAAGCCGTCGCCACCTGCTCGTCCAGTCCGTCGAGGCGTGATGCTGAAAACTTAGGTTGCACACGTTTTTGAAACAAACCGATCGACTTCTTCACCGTGGGCCCAGCCCCTGGATTGCTCTTGAGAAGCGTGAATCGAACCAATAGTTTGAAGCCCTTGGCCCGGCAAGCTTTGTTGTTTCATGTCCACAGCTTAGGCCTACTAACTGACTGAATGCAAGCCTCCAAGGGCAATGCCTTGTCTCGCAAGCAGTCAAGCATTCCACTTCTGTACAGGGTGCCCAGGGTGCATGGATACCTCATGTCGTTTGCTGGCATTACGGCAGTCTCGCTAGAAACTCCACAGAGTCTCTTCAAAGGCCTTTGGCAAGGATGCCTGTTGCGCGGACGTGTGCAGGGGCTAGGGATTCCTGAATCACATGTCCTTGTTGCCTCGATTAAGTACATGATGTATTCGCAGCTTTGATATGTTCCAAAGAAGAACCCGCAACTGTCAGAACTCCCCTAGACTCAGCCCCGAGGTCCGCAACCGAAGAAATATGAAGATCATCTTCTTAGTACTTAATGAACATGCAATCAACTATGCCCCCCAAACCCTACTACTCTAGCCTTTTGTGGGCCCGTAACATAACAAAGCCGGGTACCATGCGCCTGCATCCAGCCGACCACCCGGGAAGCGACAATTGCCCTTCGCTATTTAACGGCGAGGGCCCAGCCCAAGCCTGGCCCGGGGGTTTTGGGTTTGGCTTTGAGGGTTTAGGGTTTCATATGGTTTTGATGTTTTGGGTTGACGGTTGAGGGATTAGGGTTTCGGGATTAAGGTCTGATAGGGCCCAGATAGTCAGAATATGTCAGAATATGCAAAAGGAAGTCCAAGTAGTCAGAATCATGTTTGCCGTGAACTTGAACAGAATGACCTAGGAATGGGTGGATATGTACAGGCTCGTGTACTAACAGCAGTGCGTCTGGTTCCCAACCATGCTATGACAGTAGCAACAAGAATTTCAGCCCGAGACTAACGCATCTACATGGTCTGCATCCCAAGATATTCTTCTCATCGTGGGAAAAATGCAGTGGTGGGAAGCACATGCAGTCACCGCGATCATGCGAAACAGCGGGATGATCACATCAATGCCCAGAGCCAGCTTTGCCACACCAGCCAGTATACGAATAGTGAGTAATGTTTTTGGAGCCACACGCAGGCAAAAGACTTACTACCAAAAGTGGAATGGTGTTGCATGGGACCTGCCTCCTCAGACACTGAGCATCAGGCCGTCACCTCAAAGTTGCGCCACTGATCAAAGTCCTGAGTGGCACGAGGACTGCAAGATGAAAACAGAACAGTGCTGCTTCTGAGCGCATCTTTTGAAGCACTCCTGTCGATCGTGGTGGCAACCATACATACAGTCTCCCTGTGAAGTACTTCCGCAACTTACTCAAATGGCCCTGGCACCCGTCGACGGCCACAGCGCGCAGTTTCCACGAGTCGCTCTGCCTGCTCAGCCTCGCGCATTCCAGGCTCAAAAATTTGGACCACTGATTGATTGAACAAACTTTGTTTGTCAGGACCCCATTGTTAAGATCCAGGCAGGCTACCACCTTTTCATGTTGTCATCTTTAGAGATCGGTAGTCTCCAACCTTTTCTCGCACCGGTTTTTTTGACAGGCCATGTGATCCCATAGTAATCTCTCTGCAGGAAAAAATGCTGGGAAACTCAAGACATGTACCTATGCAAAGAAACCAACAGTCAAGGCCTCTGCCGCTGCGGCGAGGCCTGCTGCGCGTTCTGGGAGTTCCTCCGCAGCATACTGGGATCTATTGGTTCCCCACGAGTCGATGTAGATCTGAATTGGCTCAATATGGCTTATACAACCATGCTACAGGGTCGGAGGCACCGTTTACTTGGGGTTGAGGTTTCGGGGCCATAGACGGTGTATCTGATCATCATCATCATCATGATTTTTCCGCAGCTTGGAGTAGCTGGCGCAATCATAGGGATGTGATAACGGCTCGCGCAAGCTGTAGTGAAAGATGCATGCGTGCATAAACATGGGGATAGCGTGCTGTACGCGAGATTGTGGCACCAATTAAACCAGGCCCATGGGTTTGGCTTGGGTGGTCTGCTGTCAGGCCGCTAAACATGCGGTGTGGAGCGCAAGTTTCCGTAGGGACCCGAAGCCATCTCTCCCTAAAGCAAAAAGCAGCAAATCGGTGCTGTGAGCCGTGTCTCCTGAACTCTGGGCCCTGACCCCCGGATTCCTAAATCATGAAGTCAAGGTGCGAAGTCAGCTTCTTCCAAACGCTTCAGGAGAGGGACTCCCAGACTTGAAGCCTGTTTTCAGGTGCTAAGCCTGCTAGGCACTCGTCTGGCTTATCCATTTTCAGGACCCCGGAGTTAGGTAGACTCCTGCCTTACCTTAACACGCCCCTGATGTATGCTTATTCCGTTGCACCTGCCATGCTAAGTTAGATGTCACAAAGCTGGGAAACGTTTGTGGGTATGAGCGTCACAAGCATGAAACGGTTTGTGACATCAAAGATAAGGGAACAGCATGCAGCTTTTTTTGGACGTAGTTGTTGTGCATTGGATCTCTACTGGGGCAAGGCACCAAGATGGCGAAAACTGTCTTGGGTGTTTGGGCATGGGATGCAAGTGTCCTACCCACGTCCACCGGCACAGTTGCACGCTCACAATCGGGCTCACCGCGCTCGTCAACTGAGACACCCCAAAGACAACCCTACAATGAACGTTCCTGGCACTGGTAGTCTGCATTTCTTCATGGTACCAGCGAGGAAATCAGCAAGAGCTGCAAGGTCACACTATTTCTCGTTTCCACCCTTACACTCCTCCAGCAACTTCTCACAAGGGAAACTTCTCAAGAGCACACATATCTTTGCACTGTTGCTCTTACACTTCTTGCATCTTCGAGATCAGAGTGTAATCGCCCCTTGAGCCCGGCTTAAAGCCTGCTTGCGCCGTGCGAGCAGGAGGAGCAGGTCCTGAAATATTGACTGAGCATGACGGCAAAGCAAGATACAGCTCGTGATTATGCGAATCTTTTCAACAAAGCAGTAGCCATTAGCCAGATGCCGCCCTTGGGTTGAACAATCAACAACCAACCCAAAAGCCTGAAGTAAGACTCACCAAAATGACATGATCTGAGGCGAATTTGAGTCTAGAATCTTGATTTCACACAGATAGCCCCCAAAAGATCTACTTTAGGCATCCTACTAAGACATTCGGCCCTCAGCCCCACATAAATCTCCTTCTTCAAGACTTCTGACTGAAGCTTCATGGTCTGGGCAAGATCCGTAAACGTGTGATGCAGTTGAATGCTTGTACACAGCGCATCCTCCACCACTTTCGGGTCGATGAAGGCTTGGGTCCTCCGGTAAGCCCATTTGTCAGATGACTTACTGAGGGTTTTTCAAGTGACAAAGGAATATAACATACAGGGATTATGCTCCCTCATTCCATACTAACCCCCCCGAAAGATGAGAAGACGACGCAAGTTCGAGGCGCAGAGTGCTACTGACAACACGACGAAGACCGTCAAGAAATACCTCACTTGTTATGACGATGAGAGTACGAATTTCAAGAACAGTAGCCATGACTCTTCTGCATCCCTGGTAGTATTAGCAATGATGCAAACAATTTTTGTGGTCCATCATGATCCTAATGGCAGGCCAGTTGCGTGGTGAGGTCGAAAACACCTACAAAGCTACGCTCCCAGAAAAAACATCATAGCTATAGACCTAGACTCCCTGTTCAAGAGCCCGTAACTTTTTATCTATACAGATGATGTATGGAACCTCTACAAATTTGTGCAGCTGAGCCCTGAGCCCATAGTCCCTGAACCGTGAGTTGAAACTCAGAGCCAAAACTGGATGTGCTAGCAGCTCCTTGGCACTGATCTGCTCGCAGGTCCCTCAGCCACGCGCAGGCCAAGCGCTGCATCCAACAGCTCCACAGCTTTGGCCTTGGGTTCCAGAATCAGAGGCGGGGGAAAAGGACATGTTCTCAAAATTGTAGGCATATTATGGATATGTCCTGGGGTATACTAAAGTATGTTGTGGGTATATATACGGTATAGAATACAGGGGGTTGGGAGGGCTAAGGACATGATCATCTGCACCATTGCAAGTGATCATCTGCACTTCTTTTGGTGATGTTGTCATTCTTCCTCCGGTGTCTGTATGATGTGCTGTACAGGGTGGCTGCACAAAACCACAGCGACTTCTGCGCTGGCCAAAGTAATTCACATGGGGCGTCTCAAAATCATGGGCCCTTTCTTGACGGGTGCTTTGCAGAAGGATGCCACCCATGACGGGGCATCTTATGGCATTTACTTTATTCCGGCATGGCCACATGGACATAGGGAACCTTGCAAAGGAGAGGGCTGTACATCGTCTCAAGGGTCAGCTGTACACGGCTGTGCCTCGATCCTTGGACATGTGAGACAAAAGCTTCACCTCCTCTCCCCAAGGAGCTGGAGCATGTACAGGAAGAAGTTCAGGAAGTCCAAGTAGAGATTCCATGCTGCGAAGGCATACATGTCAAGAGTGTACTCAATGTCGCGCTTGCCGCCACCCAAGTTCACGGAAGCAGACCCAAAGATCATTTGCGTGTCGTAGACGATGATGAAACCAAAGAGCATGGCTCCAAGTCCAGCAATGATCTTGCTGATGATGAGGCTGCCTGGGAAGAAGGAGTACACCAGGAGAAGCATGATCAGTCCCAAGAACAGAACCATGATGTAGGCTCCACACCCGGTGAAGTCCGCCTTTGTGCGCACGGCATAGATAGTCAACGCAATGATCATAACTGCAGTGAGTGCGAAGACGAGCAACACTGACTGGGCCGTGTACCTTGCACAGATAAAGCCCACCAGCACGCCGAAGCACAAAGAGAAGGTTGTTAGGTAGAGGTAGTTCCAAGGTGCTGTCTTCATCATTCGGAAATAAGTCTGCATGAGGCTGCTGCCTCCGCAGCAAAGCTGGCAAGACATTGCCAAATCGAAGACAATCTGGGCCAGCACGATAGCAGCAACCATGTAGAGAATCCAGACATGATTACGCATGAACTTCATGGTCACATCTGTGGCAAAAATAAACGGCAAGCTGATCCCGAAAGTGAGTACCAGCATCATCCCCAAAATCCCATACACCTTCTTCACAAATCCGAGGCGTATCTCTGGCGGCAGGAAGGCGTCCCTGCATGCAAGCTGCATCACCTCCAAATGCTCTGGTGGTCGGGGCATTGGCTGCGCTGCAGCGCTGTGCGGGTATGGCTGTTCGATGTCCACTGGCCTTCCCACCACCTTGCCCTGCACCACTTCTGGCTGCATCATGGCGCCTCTCAAAGCAGTCTGTGCTAATGGCCCTGCTGTTCAAGCCTAGACTGAATCGGTCAAGGGACGACAACGAAAGACGCTGCCACATGCACTTCCCTAACAAGAAACAATCATGCAGCTCTGGTAGCACCAATCGCAGGCAAACAAGTAATGTGGTAGCCTGACAGCCAGTGGCTATTTACCTGTTAGTTTGAGATGATTATCTGCGCGCATTGTCCATTTGCGCTTTCTGAGGGCCCTCTGAGCTACCGGCCGTCCAGCCAAGCTGGATGCAGCACTGTAGCAGAAGCCTTGGCTGGAAATCGTTTGAAAAGACTGCCGGGATAAGCCCGAAACAGCAATAATACTGATCGAATTGATGGCCGCTGAGGGGAAGACTGCCCAGAGGAACAGCAGCAACATGCAGGCCATGCGCGACTGTTTAGTGACTGCACTTCATGATTTCGGGATTTGGTGTTGGATAGCTTGCTTGCCAGCTGGAGATTCTGTTTCAAGGAACTGCTCCAGCGGGACTTCTGCTCGGGCGCCGCAGGAATGGAGGAAGCCTAGTCGTTTGTAGTGACGAGGTGTTACGTGCTTGAGAGAAGCCTCCATCTGAAATTGGACGGTGTTGCAATGCACCTCCCACTCCTTTTGGGTAAACCTGGCCTTTCTCAAGCAAGATGAGTGGCTCATAGATCCGGGCACTTGGTGAGCATCCGTCAGCCACCATCTGTTCATGCGTAGACAAGGCCATCTCTGGCTTGCCTTGGTATTTGGTGCTGGAAAGGTGCCGGGAGAAGTGTTCAAGGTCGCCATGCAGGGTCAGGGCCGAGGCTGATCCAAAAGGATCACAAGGCGCCAAACCAGCACTCAAACGCCTTCTGCCCATTCCATACATCACACGACCGTGCTCAACAACCATTAGTCATACTATTGACAAGCGTAGCTGCAAAACAACAACCAAGACCCGCCGACTATGCGGTCACCTACAAGAACGTTTCTGACGGAGGGCCACAGCGAATGCAAGCAGCAACGAGGGCTCCATACCTTGCTTGAGGTTTACTTAAGCTTTGTTGAAGGCAGAATAGTGCCGGCAGGGGTGGGGTTCTCTTGCGAACAGAAAGGGAAACTGGCGAGAGAACACGGAGGACTGCTTGAAGGTTCATGAGCTGTAAGCCGGGTTTCAAGTCATGGCTTAAGCACTAATTACATGCAATAACTAGACTTATGCTAGTAGAACTAGCGAACGCCGTGGACTGTTGGGCTTCCTACCTTAAGGATTGTACCATTGCTTTGATGAAGGTCTTGGTGGGGACCCTCAACCATGAAATTGCCTGAGACCCCTGGGCTTAAACCAAACAACGCCCCCAAACCTAAACTGAATCCGCCCAACGCATCTTGAAACTCCCATCGACTCTCCTGAAGCCGATCCATGCCAGGTTGCACGTAGGCGTTCCTAAGCTGGGGTTAGGGTCAACGCGGGTAGATTTCGGCGTTGGGATCAGTAATCGAATCTCCTCATATTCTGGAGCCCTATTGCAGTACTTTTGCGTTCGCTGATGAGGGTCTGAGACAATGTTGTAATTGTACTTGGACATTATGAAGCGGAGTTGGTGACGATAAGGGCCGGTGTTTTTCGCGCCACGTGACTCTTCGGTCTAGGGTTCGCTGTGATCAACCGAAACCAGTCGAAAAGACAGAAGCTATTTCCAAGGCGTCTCAGTCGCGGCTGCAGGTGATATTCACGGGACATATCTTCAAACCTTTGTTTTGCACAGGTCAGGGCTTTAGGTTGGTGTTGCCGGTTAAAGGGTGTTTGTTCCCGGGAAAAGGCAGTTGAGGTAAAGAGACTTCAAATCAGGAAGAAATTGCAGAAGATCCAATTCGACCTGACATGAAGTCAAATGGGTTTACTCCCAAAGATTGGATAAAATGATCTCATGCAATTCCTTTGAAGTCTGCTTCAAACTTACCCTTAGATGTTCAATATCAGAGCCAGCAACATAGACATCGCTCGCTTCAGCTCGCCACGCGAAGAATATAGACGAATGCCTTTGATGGAAAGGTAGACAGGATGTTCAAAATGCGGGCCTCTCGGTGGGTTTATGCTATTCGGGGTTCAGCTGCTTTGACATCTTGGACTTTTTTCCAAGCCCCAAGCTAAGCCAAAACAACAAAGGCACGCGGAACTAACGTGCAGACAACAGGCAGGCAGCCAGGGTTGCATTCGAGGGCTGGATGCCCACCTCCTCGTCACCGCCCATATTTCTAAAGGCGTCTTGAAGTTCTGTTTTGAAAGATAAGCAGCGCAAGCTGTAAACCTTCTGAACATGCTTCTGTGAGACACCGGCCAAAATCTGGGCGGCCTGACAACTGTTCTAGCAAAATCTTTGACCCGACCAGACCTGCATCTGCGCGAGAAGGCGCTCGGCGCCCCTGTAGTTGTTCTGATGAACGCAGCCCTCCAACCTTTCATCAGTCGTGGCAGGGCAAGTGCAAAGCCACTAGCCGACTAGCCATCGAATCCATTACTTCAGCAGACAGAGCGCAATCACCCCTCGGGCACGGTGCAGGGTACAAGAGCTTGACATGCAGAGGTGCTGAGGCTTTCGGCTTTTGAGTTGGACTTTGCTGGGGCTATGCATGTACTGGCAGAGGAGGAAAACAATGATCGTAATATGTCAACCTTACAGCCTGAAGCCAAAGCCCTACAAGGGACAAGACATCGAAGAGCATCGCATCCAAACGAATCGCATCACGCCGCATGATCTCCACGTATGCCAGGGCATCCTCCACCTGCAAAGGCTCCATCACCACTCCCATCAATACCTCTTGATATTGACAGTTTCTGCTTTGAGGGGTACCTCAGGAAATTATGACTTTGTGTTAGGTGTTAAGATCCTTGCCGTAAAGTCTTCCTTTGTTTGGGGTGGCGCAGAAGAGCTCTTATTTGCTCCTGCAGGCTTCTTTAGATTTTGCCTCCAGGTATTCAGTGCCTGCAAATGCTCCGCTGTGCTTTATTCCCCCAGTCTCTGCTGGGTTTGGGGGCGTCCTGCAGGAGAAGTGGGTGGAATGATGGCAGCCATAGAAATTATGAGACTGATAAGAACGAGAATAATGCTGGGAATAATGTCTTTTTTGCAAAAGACCAGGGGCACATGGGTAGCAGCACTACCATCATTCAGACTTCTATGAACTTGAAACCCTCTCTTTGCCGTTTTTCCTATATAACCCCAACATACTATAGTAGCTTCCATTATCTTTCCATTTCCCCAATGTGACCATACATAAGCCCCAGACAGCCTGGCCAATGTTGCAAAGACCACGGATCATGGCAGAGTAGGTCGCCTCGGTATCATGGGAGTGGGCGAGTGGGTTCGTACAGACATATATATTCGTTCCTTCAAGCAAATACAGGATGGGGTAGGCAGGGATCTTATTATGCTTTGGGGGAATTCCATATTCTATCTACCTAAGGGGACTATCACCCTGAACCTTGTTAGCACCAAGTCTACATCCAAGCGACACTACATCCTGGGCGCGAACAATTCCCCAATCCCACACCTGTTAAATATAAAATGCGGTACGTTCTAAAAATGCGGTACGTTCTAATGAACCCTAATCCCGCACCGCAATGCGCCCTGACCCCAGGTCCAAAATATGGCATCACAAGGTTTAGCTGGGCTACGAAATCAGGTTTCAGCTTGTCGGCGGCCAACTGTTGAAAGAGCGCCGTGCCTTGCGAGCCACTGGCAAGGAGTACCAAACGGAACACAATGAACAGGACTAGACAAGGTGCTGAAGCATAGCTCGTATCAAAGTTGCACAACATAAGCAGCCATAGTGCCCATGTCTTAAGGATGTGTTTAATACTCGCAGTAGCAGTAGAGAGGACCGGTATAAGTCGGAGCGAAGAAGTCGCGGTAGCATTACCATCCTGACTCGCCGCAGCAGCGTTACCACCACCACCACCACCACCACCACCACCACCACCACCACCTCCTTCATCTCCAGCTGCATTCTGTTGCTACCATACAATTCCAATGACCGCAAGTAGTACATAGCAGTAGGATGTAGGTGGAAAGGAGAGGCTAGCAAGCCGAGACTTTGTGTTACGCCTGTCCAGGGTGGAATATGGTTCAGATTTCAATTTTTCAAGCCTCAGCCTCTTTCGGGAAGGTGACATATCCTTTCCGAATGCACGAGCGTTTTCAGAAGAAGGGTTCATAATCTTCAGAATGAACGAGCTTCCGCCAAGGTGCCGAGATCCATGCGTCCGACCCGTGCGCACACTATGATCATTGACCTCGAGCAGAGAGCGCGTCAGCTTTGATGACTAATTCTTTTGAGGGGCTTGTGCTTTTCTTATATGGACAGTTTACAGAACCATCACCGGCATTTCTTTACATCCCCCTAATACGCCTTTGCCTTCCTCGCTGGAGGTCCTGGGCTGTTGTGCCAGAAATGCTGAGTTTCATTCCTTGCGTGTCTGATGGAGAGATCACATTCGGACAGGAGGTTGTGCTTCTGCAGTCACCCTCTTAACCATCAGTCCCACGGTCAATAGCTGAACACCAACTTGCCGAGCTTTTTGCGTCCCCACAAGGAAAGGGCAAGCTTCCTAACCGGAAAGCCACTCATCCAACGCTGTCCAGCTTAGGCGCTTCATGGTGCGAAGGTCCACCGCATGGCCGGTCTGCCGTACTTGCCTGGGTTGCTGTTAAGGAACTTGAACTAAGTTAACATCATCGGTGTGTATAGTAATGAACTCAAATTTAAGTTATCATAATGGTATATATAGTACTCAGTAGGGTTTCCCCATATAGCAACTTAAACTAAGTTCCCTAACAGCAACCCAGTTGCTGCATGCATTTTTCCGCGGCCTCCATGTCCTGCCTCCGCGCCAGCCTGAAGAGTCAGACGTGGAAGGAAGGGCTTGTAGTCCCCCTAAGTAGATAGTATTTATAATGAGACCCCATATACCCCAGTGGAAAAGAACATGGAAACTACTATCTAGGGTTTAGGGTTAGTAGGGAATAAGGGAATATTATATTAAATGTGAATTATAGAGGAGTAGCAACAACTGCCTGAAGGGGTCTCACGACTGTTGATGACATCAATCGAAGCGAGTGCCGGAATGCGAACGGCAGTCCCCATGATGCCAATTACAGTAATACACGCACTCTGGACATGAGACCTCTGAACACAGAGTAACCTGGGTTGCTGTCAAGGAACCTCGTCTAAGTTACTATATTGCGGAAACCCTATTATTTAATATATTTACCCATTATGACGAGTATCTTGTCTGGAAGCTACCTTCAGAGTTCGCTGATTCTTGGACACGCTCATTTCCCACTAGTTCTGGCGGCGCAAGGCATCCAGCATTTCAAGACTGATCCCTCCATGCGCCAAAGGATCCTTCATATCCCTTGTGGAGGCCCATCAAATACTCATGATCACGCCTTGCGGTATGTTCTTAAATTTCAATGATCCTGCTTTCGCTTGTCAAGGTGCCAGCGAGCCAGAGCGAGAACTTGAGAAGGCCCTTTCGCACCTGCACACATGCAAGCAGATGAAACGGTTTAATGCCTCTGTCTCTCCTTCCATGTATCTGTGAATCGATCCATCCACAGGCTTTCACCAAAACGTCAACTGGCATTACACTGCGTTCGAAAGCAAAGACCGCAAACTCTTGTTGACTGCTCGCACCGCTAAAGGTAGAGGCCCGACAAATTCGGAGTCTCATTTGCTGGCGACCCAGATACACGAAGAGAGCAGCATGTCTCAGGCAGCATTTCTTGTAAGGCACTGTAACATCAGACATTTTTCCAGGGCACAATCTGGCCACCCTTCGGACCACAGAGTTGTGCCCCATTTCTGGGTGGTTCCAAACATACTTCAAATTGCAACTCAGAAGAAAAATCCTTTACTTCCTGGTAGTTAGTAGGGAACCAGGAAATATACTCCCTATATAATTCCTATATACATAATATATAGCATATTCCCTGACCTCACAGTAAGAAGAGAAACCCTTCAGCGGCCTTCCGGGACCCTCCAGGCAGTGTGTCGAGCCAAGCGGTGTGCCGAGTCGAAATCACCAAGCTGGACGCAGGCCTGGAAATCTTGCAATTTGCTGCGCAGTATACTGGGTTGCTGTTAAGGAACTTAAATTTAAAATACTATAATAAGGAAAGCCTGATAAGGAAATCCGACTACTTTCTATACACCTATAATACGGTAAGTTAAATTCAAGGGAGTTGGCTTAACAGCAATCCAGTATATATCGTGGGGAAATCATCAGTGTGGATTGAATCATAGGGAGTGCGGTTTGCCATCGTCGAATGGGACTTCTGACAGGAAAGCTGCAACAAGGCCCGCGGGCAGAGCTTTCAGCCCTGTTTCTGAGCTGCATATGCACAGTGATCAATGTCTATGCAGCAGGGGGCTGGCGTTACACTGTCAAGGCTCAAAGGGGGAGGTCACAAGAGACTTTCACAGCAACAGTGGGATGGGGCTGCAAAGATGTGATATTTTTTCCGTACTGCTTGGGTGTGACATGACTCTGGGCTGACACTCAACAAGCGCAAGATCTCGCGTCCCGGCTGTTGAATGGCGCCGTCCGTGTAGCATGAGGATAAAATGGAAGCGTCAAGACAGAAGTAGGCTAATTCCTTCGACTTCCTAGCTCCATTCATGCTGTTTGGGTATGCGCACGGGATCAGAACTGGCCGTCGCATGCAAGTTGCGTTCAACGAGGGCAGGCCTCGAACACATCCGCATGTAGCTTCGCATCGGGCTGGGAGGTGCCCTGGATGCAACATGTGTGAAAAAATAGAGTCTGAGCTGAGGCTTCAGGACTTACAAGATTAGGTTGATTGAGGGCATCATAAACGGTGCTTCGAGCTCATGTTGGGAGGTAGGTGCAACCCACCCTCATAAGGTTCCCCCTTACTAACTAAACTTGCGGAGCCTTGGGGGTGTTGACGACCGCCTGGGGCTCGGGAGCAATGAGGGAAGCCATGTAAAGTGCTCGCAGTAGCGATCCTCTAGGTCGACACACATATGCGCCTTCTCCATGCATATGCATGCGTGTACCAATTTTGTATCACACATGGATCCATGGGTTGCATCATGCACAACAGTGCATCTATACCGTGACGGGTACATATGCCGAAGACCCTCCTTGCATGCTACAAGTTGCACCCTGAGACCTCTGGCACGAGGCATGAGAATGTACAAGTCGTCAAATCATTTCCTACCCGTATTCTATGGGAATACAGCAACCGAAGCGGATTGACAGGTTACCTTCTGGACTACAAGGTGCTAGTCTGCACATGATGAGGTCTCAGCGAAGCGCGCCTCAGCAATCCAACGATCCACCGCCACGTCTGGGCGTCCAGGAGGAAAGGCTCTGGGCTCCTCCGAAGTGGGGTTTTCAGAGTGCAGGCCCCTTTGCAAGGGGTGGCGCTTGTCAAAGTGCGTTGTCGCGTTCAAGGCCATGCACTGTGCGGATCAAAGCTTGACCTCCCCAATGCCCCAAGCAAGTGAAATCTGTTGCTCACATGTCCCTACCTGTCACAAACAAGTTGGGATATGTCAAATGTCCGCGACGTAGGGGTAGACTTTCGGCTCCAGCCCTTCTACCACTTACCCGCAATTTTACATGACTTGGATGAAGAGTTAGGCTGGGAGGGAACTGAACACTTTTTTGAGAGGATTTCCTATCCACGATCTCGTGTAATTCAGGCGATGATACCGCACTTTTGCCTTGACCATCACGTAGTATGCACCCACTTGTCAACAACGGAGCTCGAAACAATCTACAGGCTTTGAAGGATGGGATGCAGCTAAGTAAGGCCAAAACGGAGATAGACAAGACCATGCTGCACAAGCCTTGTAGCATAGAGATGGCAGTCCCCCAAAACAACCAGTTCTTATTCGGAATGAATAGTTCGACGTTGGCCGCGCCGCAACTGGATAGGTAGGTACCACTACAGATTCCTCTGATGTATGAAGAAGCACCCATCAGGCTGTATGGGAAAAGGGCGGAATCCCCAAGCAAGCCCTCCTTCAGTGATATTGTCCGCTTTTGAAACGTGCTATGGTTAACCAAGAGCTGCGGAAGCCTGAAGCCAGAACAGTTCCAAAGCCTAAAGCGCGCAGACACGCCCGCGTGCACGGCCATAACAAAAAATACCAAACTCACACCTCAGAACAATCGTGGGGTCGCTGTCTCCTGGCGTTGTGCATCCACAAATGCTCTGCCTGTTGCTGTCACGGACTCGGTTGGCGCCGTGCCCTGCTCCTCAGAGCCCTGAGAAGATGGTAAAGTGTTCAAGAGGAAGGGATTCTGTAGCGGTTTTCTATAGGTTGTGAACATATATGTAGATTACATTCAAACTTCTCAGGATTAGCCCCGTAAAGCAAACATGAAACGCCGCAAACGACTACAGTCCTCCAAAGTGGCTATGTGAGATGCCATGTTAGTTAGTAATGCGGAGGGCATTTTATGCAGGGAATGAATCAGGTCGTACAATGGAATTCTGCTTGTAGCGGGCCCTTGTTGCAGAGCAAGAGATGGACTCTCGTCTTAATTCCGCGTCCTTCGATGTTTGCACACAATCAACGACTTTGTCTACGGGCTCTTGGGTCTATGAAGCAAGCCAGAGTCTCAGAAACTAGCAGCTAACATCCCAATCACGATCCAAATCAAACGCGACATGGGTGTAGGCACTCCTTGAAATCTACAACGCGACAATCGCCATCTTTCGTTTGTACCTCTATCGCCACTCGGAGCATGCTGCCCTAGAAATGATGTGTTCAATGCCTCACCAACACCTACAGCTAGCCTTATCCAAAAGCGAAGCGCCCAAGCAAGATTTTCTTGGCGTATCCTAACCTAAACTAAAGAAGTCGTGGTTGAGAGCGCTCGCCATCTGTATTTAGCCTCAGGGCTATCTACCCTGAACGTGGCATTCCCTCATCACCTTGCTTTACGCCCTACAAAGGTCTGCAACATGAACTTAAACTGTCCCTCTCCCCTCGAAACAATCCTTAACCTCCTCCCATGTTTCCACGAATGGTCCCGATGTTCACTCCCTCACTTCCAAACCAGCACTTTCTGGTGGTTAGTAGGGAATACGGGAATATAATCCCTATAGAACCCCTGTACAACATATTCCTGTACTCCCTACTAATTCCCTGTAAGGTAAGGAATCGCAGGTTCCCCGGCACGGCCTGAGCTTGCATAGCCCTGGCATGAGGGTCTCGAGGTGTGGCGCAGATCGTGATGGCACCTAGCTTGTTCTGATCTTATGCGCATAGAAACATGGATTACATGCATCTTTACTTTTAGAGGGCTTCAGTAGCCAAATTACCAACAGCTGCAACGAGTTGAATGATACCAGTAGCGATAGCTCTAGATAAGCTATGCTAACTGGAAGTGTCGCAAGCATACGGCTGCCATGAGAACGGGCTCGGAACAAAACATATTGGAATGTGATTTCCATAGGGCTGACACTGTGGTCCGGTGGCCCATGTACAGACAGTCCGTTGAAAAGGCAGTGGGTGGTGCCTGCAGTAAAGCAAAGGCTTCATCTGTCCAGCGCCTGCACTAAAACCCAAAGCCTGAACTTGAGCCATGTCAGGATTGCTGTTCGATGCAAATCAGTATTCGTGGCGGGGTCATGTGAGCTATAGTCTAAACTCCTAGTATCCCCCTTAATAACCCCTGTAGTAGTCCCATATATAATCCCCTATATAAACCCCCTACAAGGAGTTTAGACCCAAAAACCCTAAACCCTAAATAGTAGCTTCCATTTTCTTTTCCATTATCCCTATAATCCCTAAATAACCCTATATAACCCCTATATAACCCCCCCCTTTAAGGAGTTCATGTGGATCTTTGAGGTGCAGTCCAGGCTCGGCTTTGGCGGGTCACAAATCCCAGGAACGGCCCAATCCTTGGGTAGAGGTTGAGGCTTCTGTGCCTTTTCCATGAGTGTCCCTACGCAGCCCAAGCCCAGAGTCGATTTTTCGAGGCCAATCCCAGACTGAAGTATCATATGTTTTCTAGACCAAATGTTCTAAGCAATGCGCCTACCACTGGTTGCAATTGCAGTTTTGGTTCAAGACTCATTATTCCTGAAGCTCCAAGGAAAATGCATTCGACGAGGGCGAGCCGCACCTGTGACCGTAACACTGCATAAGCAACAGTTCTTTATTGAAACTGTAGTCTCCTTAAACCTATAACATGCTTAATCATCCCTTAGGGTTATACTATACTAAAAATTGAAAACAGTTCCTAAGGAGACTACACCAACAACCTGAGGGACTCATGACTTCTTCCACTCCATAGATCCCGCTGGTTATGCTGCAGGGCTTAGCTGCGTCATGTTGCAACTCTGGCAACTTCAGAAATCACCCAGGCCTGGGGGCTTGCCACTAGTACTCGAAGTCCTCTCTGAACGAAGTAGAGTGGCTTACTTAGACTACCCTGAATTCTAGTTTCCATCTTATTTTCCATTATCACCCTATAACCCCAATACATACTCCAAATTCCCTACAGAATCCCTATATAACCCCTATAATCTCTGTAGTTTCCATTTTCTCTTCCATTATCCCCATATAACCCCAATGGATACCCCTATAGTATACTAATCTCTTGAGCTCCTGTGATCCTCAGGTCCCAGGTACAAATGCCAACCAATAGTGAAGGCGGCGATGAGCAAAATCATCTGCGCTTAGGCTCCAGGGAGGATTGGTCAACTTGGTTAGAGGCAGGATTAAGGATAAGAAGGGTTGAGACTTAAGACGTCGCAGGGGGTTCCCACGGACTTGGCCCCTCACAACAGAAGGATGGGAGTCAGATCAAACAGGAGCTCATAGAAGGAGAGGACAAACAAGATCACTAACCAGCGTACAGGTTTACCTAGCACCCTCGTTGGACTACTGCTCGCTTGCACTCCCCAGCTGGACCCGACCTCTTGCGCAGTGGCCAGTATGTCCTGGGCCGGGCTCCCAGGGTTAGGTTGTGGCTTAATGTTGCGAGATAAAGCGCTGATGTTTGAGGATTCAAGCACCTAAGTGCAACACGGCACTTCTGCTCCAACAACGAACCGAGTGGCATGCAAGGATCCCACAGCGCAGTCATCCCGCGCCGCGCACGCGGGCGAGAAGAAAATGACCTCAAGACCAATTGTCTAAGCCTATGGGCCTGATGCTTTTGGGCTGCCCCTCTCTCCCCTAATACATTGTGGTATATTATGATACATTGGGGGCATTTCATATTAGGGGGCGAGGAGAGTTTAATCTTGGAGGGAGAGGACTACTACTCCTTCAAGGGCCATGCCCCGCCCCACAAACTATGCGGGTCCTTTTGAAGCCAGCATTTTCCCAAATTCCGTAGTTTCCTAAGACCTATAATAGAAAATGATTTTACTATTTCCTTAGGGTTATACTATAACTTAGGGTTATACTCTAACAGAATTAAGAAAATTCCTAAGGTCATTACAGGATTGTGGCTGCTAATGAAACTGAGAAGCTGCCACGGCGAGAATGAAACTCCCAGCACCGGTCATGGTAGGAGCTTTGCTTCACCTTGGCTGGGACCCACTGCTCTCTATGCTTTTTCTTGGCATCACTTCCAGAGGGGAACCCTGAAACAGTCGGAGCTTGAAATGCTCCCACCTCCAATCTGAAGACAAGGGCCCGAATAGTTCCCAAATACTTCGCCACAGAATGAACTCCTACGACCGTCCTTGGAAGACACAACTCCAATAAGCCCCTAAACTTAATCGAGAAAGCCCTTTCTTCATGCTAGCCGCCAAAGCAACCAGTCTCTCAAAGCATTCGCCCAAGAACAAGAAGCCAAGGGGCGGTATAAGGTGGAAGTTATGGAGCAACCGGAGCACTGAACTGGCCCCAGGTGATAGATTTTCTTTTGTAAAGGAGCCTCGGCTAAGCACGACCAAGCACTGAGAGAGTAGACATGAGGTAGTCTACATACCCCCAAAACAGCTCGATTGTAAGGGCTTAAAGCAGATTCTCAAGGACTATCTGACTGTCGCTACGGTCGCAACAAAAAGAATGCATAAATGGCTTTCATAACATCCACCACAGACATCATCATAGTGGTAACGCTGCTGCCAGACTTGTTTTTACATGCCAGTAATGCCAAGAATACTACGGACAGCAACGTGTCCACCAGGTTTAAGCCCAAGGATACCCGCATCACCCTTGCTGCCCGCTCTCATGGTTCCAGCCAGGCCGCGCTTGAAGCACTGAGCTACGTTACGTCGCAGAATAGTAGAATAGTAGTAAGCGGAGAGACTTGAATCGAAACTGCGGCGCAAAGGTTGCAGACAAGCTCCAGAAACCGTGCAGAAAGAGAAGAGTGGACATGAGTGGACAAGGATTCGGTGTGGTAGATTCCACTGTAGCCCCCAAAGAGGAGATGAATATGGGGATGAGGTAGCTCAATAGTGAAATATCTATCTTGCTCAGGTTTCTGCATAGAATGTGTCGACACCACTAGTTGGGGAACTTTTTGGATCTGTTTCCATATTTCTCGGGGCCCTCCATGAACCTGTTCCAGATGGTGTGCCCGACCCCAAGACTCTTCCGGGTAGGCTTGAGAATGTGAGAGAATGAAAAATGGCCCTAGGGCACCCTTTACGTCACCCTGTCTACACTCACCTAACCAGCATCGACCTCCTTCTGACACACGAAGGGCTTTACTGGGGTGCAGTCTCATTTAAAAAGCGAAAGCCCCCCAAAAGACCTGCGGCCACCTACAAGCCGGACTTTCTACGTCACACACTTTGCGTCCCCTTCCCGTCCTTCTCATAACAACCCCTCTAATTATACAATGCCGCTATATTGGGGTCATTTATCTCAAGGAGGTCGGGAGGTTTAGCCGCTGGGACTAGAACAATACTCGCATGACTTGCCGGAGCTCCAGGGCCGTGCACGGAAATCAAACTTTTCTTTGAGGCCATTGCTTGAGCATTTTGAAGATTTGGGGCTCTCCCAAAATGAGGGTTACCCTTTTCGGGGTCCCTATAATAAGGGCTATAGTATTTGGGGGTCTATATTGGGGTACCCCTATTTTGGGAAACTACCATTTGCTCGAAGTCACAGTCAGCATCTGCTTGTACTACAGCAACAATTGTCTTTCTCCAGCAAAGAAGGACTTGAACATCCCAGTTGCCGCAGGCCTAGAGTCCGTTGATCGCAATAAGACAAACATGAGAAATTAGAAGCTTGTCCCAACAACACATCTACAAAATTCGGGGATTCCTTTGGTATCCCTAGTAATGCTAATACCTATACTAGTGCTAATAGTCATAGTACTAAAGCTAATAATACTAGTACTGGTACAAATACGAATACTAGTACTAATACTAATACTATATTCATACTAATACTAATGCTCATAATACTAACACGAACCCTAAAACTAGTACTGCTACTCATTCTAATAGTAATAATCATAATACAAACAATACTACTCGTCCAACTCTGTGGACTTCAGCAACTGCTGGGGCCACACCTCCTGCGGCCACGGAAGCCAGGCCATGAAGCACGCGACGCCAGAAGCTGTTTGGCACAGAGCCCCCCTTAAGTAGCTAGAATATGGGGTATATGGGGATCTTATTATACGTGCCCAAAGCCATATTTTATCTACTTAAGGTGGACTATAGGGTTTACGGGTTTAGGGATGGGTTTCGCCAATACGCCTTCGGGTTTCAAAGGGATTGGGATTCTGGGGCGGTGGGTCTTAGATTCATGTTGTCCGCTTGAGGTATAGGGTTGGAGAGTTAGGGTTAAGGCTAAGAATCTTCTGTTTGGGTTTGGAGTGTCAGATTGCAGGTTGGTTTGTTTGGGTGGTTTCCGTTAATAGCATTCATGCTGCCATGAGGTTTTTGGCATGATTTTCTTAATCTCTCGAAATACCAGACTCCCTGTTGATGCATGACAAAGAGCCGGAGTAAAGCTGAGAAGAAGCATGGCAACCACAGTACAGATTGCCAATCTTGCAGGAAGTCATATGTTGATGCGCTACAGATATTCCCACACTTCTACACCAAGGGCAGGACGGCTATCGACAGCTCGTAGACAATGATCTGGTGCCACTCGGCCAATTGCATTTTGGTCTGCTTGCGCGGAACGCCTCCGCTGCTTCCATCGTTTTCACGCAGACATTGACGGCAGAAATTCCCAGCAGAAGTGCCCTGCCGAATTGGATGCAGAAACATGTGGAGTTGCGCCGCTAACGGCTCTCCATGAAACAACTGCATGCGCGAATTACAGGTGGGACCCAGAGCAACGATTCCATCAACGAAAGCTGCCGCGAGCAAAGTGCTGCAATTCTGCTACCCTAGGAATGGCTTGTAAAGGGCAAGTGCTGTTGATCATGCAGTCCTCACGTGACCTCTATGTGAAGGAGACCCCTTTCGAAGAAGTACTCTCTGGGCATCCCTACACCGTTGGGCCCATCATGTACAACTGGACCTACTAACATCTACTAACTAATACCTAGGTAACTGGGCCTGTTGGTGCATGCACTTTGGCTTTACCAAAGATCTATGTCATGGTGGGCTGCAGCCCAGCGATCACTTCTCAGTTGGACGAAGCGGGCGGATAGTCACCGAGTAGCCTGCTATTCATCCGGCTTGGGGTTTGGCAAGGTTGCTCGCCCATTCGCGCTATGTTATGACGTGTCATGCCCATCATCAACCAGACATACACGCGACTCCATGACGGGTGCCGCTCTTGCTTCCAGCCACTTACGCATGATTGCAGCACAGCGCCGAGTTCTGATGATCGTCATGATGCTGTTCTGGGATGGATCTGCTGCTAATGACTTGCCACGTTTCAGAAAACCTATCGGTGTGATCCCAGGAGCTGCCAACGTGCGCCCACAAAACAGAGCCGAAGCACGGATGCTGCAAAGCAGAACTAAGAGGCACTGCAACAGAGCAATATCATCTGAAGCCAGTCGCGCTCTCAGAACTTCATTTTGGGCAACCCGACTTCCCCCAGAAGGACATCCCACCCCAAAGATCATGAATTTGTGTAGAGTTAGGCAAATCTTTGGGTACACTCAGCCTTTTGCATCAGGGGTCCTTGTGGTAGAGGTGGGAGTGCTCATTCCTTCTAGAAAATGGCTTGCATGACCTGCTGGGGCCAGGACCTACGATTCTCCGAGAGCTTGTTCGACTGCTGGCCTCCATCATGCATGGGATAGATTTTCTAGGTATAGTAGGCAGGTAGGGAGCAAGTATGTTCGGACTTTGGAGCATCCACATGAATTTTATTGTGTAGATCGCATGCCTATCAAAATCTAGGTCTTCTCCTGCCGAGCACTGATCTTCATGTCCGGAACTGTTCGTCCAAAACGGGGGAATGGTAATCTTTGGGCCTGAGCCGAGTTGTAGCGACATGGATTTTTGACGCAGTGTGCACAGGATCTCGAGTCGACCTTTTTTTCTGGTCTCGCGGGAGTGTTCCTGATGAATGCTTGAAGCACTTACAGCCATGACAACGCAACAAACGTTCATTCCAGAGCTCCTATGAACCTATCGGGTCCGATAGGGACTGTAAGATGCGAATGGTCTGGTGACCACCACCATCAAGACGTTTAAAATAGGAGCTTGCCCTCATCCCTTCTCCCCAATGACGGAAGCTGCATTACCATCGGAACCCAGGTATGGGACCTGTAGTACTTGAAGTTGAAGACAAGCCCGCATACGACCACAAAAGCTTGCCCCAAAATACCCCAACACCTACAGTTCAGCACGGAATGGAATATGAGGATTCTTGCTGAGGATTGCATGTTCTTTCCGTTCCCTGCTGACCACCCGCAAGAAAAAGAGCAGGGCGCACCCGGAGCATGGTATAGCCTCAGTGGGCACATTGCGCGCTGCGTGGGTGTCGTGGTCCCCGGATCCAGGATTAGTGGTATGACAGGAACATAAGGATCTCAATATGGTAGTTTCCCTAAAGACGGGACCCCAATACAAATCCTGCCCAAAATACTATAACCCTTATTAGAGGTACATTCAGAACAATCACCCCCCATTTTTGTGAAACTCCCGTATGTCTACCAGTATCCCTTGTCACTGCTAGTGGGTGGGGAATCAGCTGAGCTGTAGGGTTCCCGGGCACCTATTGAGAAAGCGAGCGTCCCCCTGTTTGCAAGGAGATATACGGAGTAATGTATTACATGTATATGTGTATAGGGTTCATCTTCAAGAATAGTTTCTCTCAATTTGTGGTCCGTTCTCTCTGCAGACATGTATCGCCCGAAACATCTACATCAGGTCTGGACAATTCAAGCAGTCTTTGGCATTCATGGCAGCACGAACCGTCACAGCCATGACTAATCCCAAAGAACGATGATCTGTGCTCGTAGTGGCAAGATGAATGGCAAGAGGAATCAGGCTGCCAGCAAGCCCTATTCCTCAGATGAACCTCCAACACAGCATTCTGGCAGCAAGGATTGACACTGAAGATTGCCAAGCAGCACTGCACTCACAACATGACGTAGAATAACACCAACAAGGTTCCGCTCGTCAAACATCAGCAACAGCAACCACCATCATCCAAGAACTCCTACCAATAAACCCTGAACCCAAAAACCCTGTTATCCCTACATAACCCCTATTTTTACCCCTATATAACCCCACTAGTCATTATAACTACTAGTAGTTTCCATTTTCTTTTCCATTAACCCCAATATAATCCCTATATTAACCCTACATAATCCCTTGCCACTACCCGACAACCGAGGCCCCAGCTATTCTGCGAGGCCTGTTGCAGAGCGTTGGCCCAGGCTTTCGCCTGGAGACTTGGAGCGTTTCAGAGCTTGGGAGCTGGATACAACTCTGGGATTAGCAAAGGATTATATAGGTTTAATATGAGGATTATATAGGGGCTTATATATGGTTTTATAGGGATTATATTGGGTTGGGGTTGTATTGGGATAATGGAAAAGAAAATGGAAACTGCTATTCAAGTTTTGGGGGAAACAAGGGGATGACGATCCACTGCGCAAGTCTGATGAAATCAGTTTGTCTCCGAAAAAAAGTCGCCGAGACCGTTCCCGGCAATCCGCAACCATCCATTTGGGGTATTAGGTGTGCTGGTTGACATCTTCTCAGAGTCCTGCTTTTTCGAGCCTATCGTTGGCCTGTAGAGGTGGTGCGAAAAATAGGAGTGGGAAGCCGCTCTACCTTCATCCTTGTGCGTGCTACCTTACAACTGTGCCTTAGCTAAGTCCGTCCTTTGGGCGTTGTGCCCACGCTCAAGCTCGAAACGCAAACCTTAACAATTGATGGGCGCATGATGGCTTCTGAGTATTTAGACCCTTTGAGAGAATGCTGCATGTTTGACTAGGGGAGTGTATCAATCCTGAACCCTAGGCCCCAAACCCTAAAGCCCGAACATACCTAAATCCTGTACCCCAAGGCCCAACCTCCATACCCCAAAGCACTAAGCCCCAAGCCCCAAACCCTGTACTCAATTCCAGTAGATGGTAGTTTCCCTACATCGGGGGAACCCTACATAAACCCCAAAACATGGTAACCTTACTGGGACCCCCAAAATGGTACCCCCAATTGTTGAAACCCATATTCTTTGAGCCCCAGCCTTAGCCTCAAAGATGCTCCCAAGAGGTGGAACTCCTCCTGATACGGGCCTTGGATTGTTCCCCAGCAACCCCTTAATGATAAGGGCACCCTTTTTCCTAATAGTCGGCTTTTAAAAAGGAGACCCACGAATAAAAAGGCGAAAAAGATACTACTGGGGTACCTAGGCTCTTGCATTGCGAGGACAAGGATCAGGGTTTAGGGTTCAGACACAGAAGGGATGTCTTCTAGGCTCCCACTTTCCCTAGGGTTCACTACTTTTTCCCTGGACATTTAGGATTTGGGCTGCCTGGGTTGTGGAGCTTGGGTGGAACCTGTAGATTATGCTGACAAGCCGAGCTTCAAAAGGAAGCAAGGCGGTTCATGTAACCGGAGGAGTTTCAGGCACACATGTTGAGTCAGACTTGAGGGCTGTAGGGTTTAGATCATGTACTTTATGGTTTAGCTTTGACTTCCTGGCCCCGAAGGTGGCTCTGGCCGGACGAGTTTTGCAAAGTTTGCTTGTAGATGTACAAAAGGCTCGAAACGGGGGCGCTAGAACAACGAAGACATCAACATGTACATTGTATGCTCCCTTCTCAAGCGAAGGATGTGGTGTCGGCACCCAAAGCAGAAGTCCCACATCTCTTGGCTCACCAGATCATGCCGTGCTTTTTGCAGACGTGCGCTGGCCCACAGACAAGCTTGAAAAGCAGACTGCTCTGGGCAGGATACCATGAAATGCGGAGATGGACCCTTAAGGACACAGCAGTTTGCTCATTCTTTGATGCTATTGCCTTACATCAAATGCTTTTTGAAGGGAGACCTCCGCAGGGCCCTTCCCCCAGGTTAGGAGGAAGCGAATTGCATGTTTTTCGCGTGGCGCTCCAAGGGCCCAATGACGTTTTGTCAGCAAAGGCCTGCCTCTTTTTCCTTCTCATAGGTTAGGGGAGGGTTGAAGGGTGTAGGTTAAGGAGAATGACACTAGTACCCGGTTTTCTCGGTCCAAGGGAAAGTCCTCATCATTCGCTGCATGGTATCGGAATTTCTTCGAAGAAGCCAACCGAATCTTCAAGGGGGACCCTAGCGTAGCCCCAGATGAAGAAGCCCTTCATTGTCCTTCGACTACGCATGGCACCCCTACATATACAACAACTTGTGAGCCGGCCAATACGTGCAAGTTACAGGCATAGTATCAGCTGTCCATAAAGGATTAGGGCCGGACAAGGAAACCGACCCCTAATGCATCGTCCTCTTCTACTTCATGAGAAGGAGGTGCACGGTGAAACCTGGGCCTGCCCGATGCATTGCCCCAAATAGATCATGGCATTGTGGAATTCCGAAAATGTTTCTCACACGCTTCTACTGCTGCGCCTGAGGGGCAGTCTACACTTAGATCTACACCTTGCCACGGGATTTGTCACGCGCGAACCTTTCTCCAGAGTGTCAGCCCCTACACAAAACAGTGAACAGCACCCACAGTCATCCTCCTAGGTCCCAGTTTAGGGTTTAGGGTTTGGGTATTAGGGTTTTGGGTTATATAGGGGCTGTATAAGCATAATGGAAAAGAAAATGGAAAACTATAGGGACTACAGGCGTTATATACGGATTTATTATAGGGTTAGCATGCGAAAAGCCTGAGGTGAAAAGGGTTTCTTGAATTTCCCTCGTATTTCCTGCACTTTTTGAAATCTTTTTCATGAGTACCCCCACTAATTTACTTGGCGAACATCTGGGAACCTAAAACCTGCACATATCTAAATGTCCAACGTAAAATTTGTGAGTAGTGTCTTTTGCGTTTGAAGAAGACAACAATATATCATTCTAATATACTACTTTGCCCCCAAAGGAGGAGATTGTCTCACTCTATATGGAGCATCCCCAAGTAGAATACCACCCATATGGTAGTGTCCCAGAATGGGGGGAACTACAAAAAGCCTGACTGCTAAGATCCTTAATATGGGGTCTCCCGAAAAAGGTACCCCATTTTGGGAAACCTGTACCTTGAGGATACCTAGACTTAGTAAGTCTACTTAGCAACAGAGTACATAAGTTATGGGGCGTTTAACAGGGGGTTCTGGGGACAGTAGGTAGATTTCAAGTCTAAAGATCATCCAAGTATGGGTATCCCGATTTTTACCCCAAGGGTCCAAGGACCCAAATAATGGGATTTTAGGGCCCAAATACTTTAGTACTAATAATACTTGGGCACTAAAACCCCATCATATGGGCCCTTGGACCCTTCGGGTTAGGAAGCCGCAGTCTGGGCGTCAGTGGAGAAGCTCAAACAGCTGGTCCAGCTTCAGGCCTCAGGGTTTACTTCAATGGCTGAAAGGGATTATGGCGGGGGACATAAAGTATCCTATGTGGGAAACACTTAGAAGGGGGAAGCCATCCAAGCCCCAACAAATCCCCGAACCGAAGGATTATGGCTCTGGTTTACGTTTTTAGGTTTTGGAGCTGTAGGGTTTAGGGTTTTGGGGGTGTTCATAAATAGTCTGCATCCTTGACCTACACTTACATGTCACTTGGTTTTAAGGTTTAGGTGGGGCTTGGCTACATTGCTGATGGCAGAAATTCATTATCATGAGTTGGAGGAAATCCCCAAATGGGAGTTTCCAGAAATAGCGGGGCTCACTGTAGATCCCAAAATGCCGTGGTACCCATAATAGGGCTGCCCCAAGTTCATATAAGGACCAAAGCTAGACCGTATCTGGGGGCTTCTTAAAGACAGTACTAGCCTAACTACAGGGTTTCACCACGTTTGGTTGATGCCTACTAACCTGTGAGCATTTCTCGTTTCAAGCCCACGGGTTTGGAGAATTCGCTGCCTACACTGGTCGTCTTGCTTTGCAGCCCGGTCCAACAGTTTTCCGCATGGTTCCGGAAGTCCAGAACCTTGTCTTTTAAGATGCTTTCAGCTGTCATGCCGCCATCGTCAAGGTTTCCTGGAGGGACGTGCCAGAGAGGGCAGGGAGGAGAGCAGACGGGGTTGGCACCTTCAAGCTTAGACTACACGAGACCGCCCTCGATCAAATCTTCGCCTGTGCAAGTTAAGGCAAGGAAAGTAGCTATGTAGCAGCACCCCCGGCCCGTAACTGCCCCTGACTTGCCTGCGCTGTCATCGGACCGATAGCATATCCAGAGGAAGTGCTCCTCTTTGGAATAGGCTACTCCCTCCATGCTGAACCAATCACACCTGCCAAGTCTCGCATTGCCAACAGTACTGGGCGCTTACAGGGGGTATGGTGCTGCTCAGAAACTGCAAAAACCGTGTAAAATTTCCTTGTTCTGGCCGAGAGCAGCCAGCGTTCTGAATCAGAATCGCTGTCACAATCACGCCCTGTCCCTAGAAACCCAAGGTTAAAAGGCAAAGCTTCACCTTGAAGTATTCCACCTACAGATGGCCAAAGATCTGCAATCCGATGCTAACCAAAGCCCAGACACTGCAAGAGTGACGCGACAATGGCGACCTCTCCAAAAGCCAGGACCAGCGCTGTGAGAAAGGGGGCAGCAAAGTACATGGGGGCGACTATGCATAGACTGCAAGTGGCAGCTGCCCCTACCATGAGACAGCGGTTGACACGCTGTCCCTTCCAAGGGAGTGTATGCCCTGAGAGGAAATACATGAGGCAGTAGATCCTTGGTTCCACAATCCTGTGCCGAAACGCTCATTCTTGAAACTGCTGTTTGAGATGCACATGGCCTTTCCAGGCTCTTTGGGGGAATAAGAGCAATTTGGTCTGATGAAAATGTGATGAAAATGCATCAGTCTTTGAACCAAGTAAAGGTTGCCCATTGGACTCCCTCGAAAGAAGAGAAATCCCAAAAGTGAATCAGGCAACGTCCGCGAATGCAGGAAATGATGGGGGATGTCCCCCTGCACCCTGTTGTACTCGCTGCTGTACACAGCGATAATCAGGTTCATCACGATGACGCAGAAGAAGGATGAGCCAATCACACTCACCTGGCGCTTTGTCATGGGAAGGGGGTGCCAATTTTGAAGCTTCGTATATCAAAAGGCTTCTTATACTTTAAGACCAAGCAATCAACTCAAGCATTCAAGGGACGGAGACCCGGTTTGTGATCAGATCCGCTCCAGACAAGAAGCCTTACAGAAACCCTGCAAGAAAGCCACGCCAGAACTTGTAACAAGGCCTCAGCCTTACAATCGAATATGGGACTTGCTGGGTTTTGAGGCAGTGACATTATTCTTGCACACATATGTATGTGTGTATATACGTATGTATGTGTGTGCAGATGTATACGTACAAGTCAGTCTGGAATCATGGCGCGCAATTTTCTCTGTCCTTATTCTGGTGCCATGTTGGTTGTTTCGAGCAGGTTATATTGCAACCAGGCACCTGAAATGCTAATCATCAATATTCCCAGAACCTGTCCTTCAACGTGCCTGACCTTTCTTCCGAAGCCTGTTTTGTAACAAACGTAATGCACCATGGAGGAAGTTGGCCCACCTTGATATTTAACGGCTAGGCGAGCGCTCACCTGGTGCAAAAAAGAACTTGAATGTTATTAGTTTTGATTCATTCGGGACCACACCCAACACCAAAATCCCCTCCCTCGACAGGGGCCCCTGGAAAGATGAGGCTCAACAAAGCATTCCTGCAAGTTCCCGTGCTAGCTACTGCTTTCATGAGAGCACTGTTTTCCTCGTAAGCCTGAGACCCGCAAACCGAAGGCTGTTAAGTCAACCCGACCTCTGTCATTATCGGGTCGTTGTCATCAAAGGCTGGGCCGACGTCCAAGCCCAAATTATCGAGACCCATGCCCGAGCCGAAAAGCAGGCCTGGCACCCACTGTTTGTAGTTTAGGTCTGGTATGCTTGGCTTTTCCAGAGGGCCTCAGGCTTCAGGGACTGTGTTTTGGATTCAGGAGGCTATGCAAGAGGTGGGCGAAGCTGGGGTAGGGTCTGCCATGGTCTTGAACCCATGAGGAACGAAACAAAAATCTTGGTGTGGGAAGCGTCCAGTATTGTGGATTCTGAAGCTCTGATCTCTAGCCGCTGAACCCTGGGCCGAATGGGATTTTCTCAGAGTACCCACCACTACGTAATCACCAAAAAGCAATCCCTGTTCCTTCTTACATATCCATAAGGCCCCCAGGGCTGCTCCGGGGTTAAGACATCCTCGAATCAGCAACTCCAACAACAACTCGCGAAGCCTCGGTAGGCGGAAGTCAGTACCCAGCCACTCTGCTTGTTGCTATCGATGATGAGGAAGGCAAAGCAAAAGGATGCAAAAATCATCCTCGATCAGGATGAAGGTATTAAATTCATATAAGGTAAACCCTGTTATAGTATAGTAATTTCCATTTTCTTTTCCATTATCCCAACATAACCCGTATATAACCCTAGTTACGTGCTTCCTTCTGGAGGCCCTGCATCAGGATCTATTTGGTTGGCTCTCTTACGTGACTCTTGGACACTTGCTTGGAGCTCCAAAGACGACATCTGGAAACACCTTGAAAACATTACGGGTACTTAATTTAGGGGGCAGTGGGGGAGTTCATTTAGGCGTTATTGCAGGGTAGAGATAGGAATTGCATAGAGATCACTGGACGAATAGAGGTCCACACCGCCTTCTCCTTTCCAGTACATGGCCATCCAAACGAAGGACATCTGAGGTTCTCCCGGGGATTCAAAGCCAGAAGCGTCGCAGTTTATGAAGATGTCAAGGCTTTCCAACAAACGGATAACATCATGGGTTGATGATGAGGATGAGGATGATGATGATGACCTCTCTCGCTCTCTCTCAATCAGATGGTATGGCGCTAAAAGCTTCCCAACAATACTCCAGCGTGCAATTCCTGGTGATCACAAGCCCAAGGGCTTGAACTCATAACGGTAGGGGCAGCCATCTCAATGACTTTCCCACAATTTTCTTCAACCATTTTCAAGAATGGCCTGGCATCATAGTGACTCATAGTGACCGTCTTAGTTCTGGCTCCTAATCCCTAGCATCCCCACCAGCATCTTTCCTCCATCGTCCGGGTGATAATGCGATAACGGACCGTTGTCATCCACACAGCCCTTGTCATCCCTTCCTGGTGCGGAGCAAGCGTCATGGTGATGATCATGATCTGACGCGTGGCGCCGCCCACCAGGGAGTTGGAGATGGCATGGATCGGCACTCCAGAAGCATGCAGGCGACACCTCTCTTTTGTACTGTGTAAGTATGTGTATACGAAGATATACATTCAGGTGGTACCTATGCAAATGTGAGTTGATACCGTGCCCCCGGTCGACCTAGCTTTCTTCCCTTGCGCAGGTGTGGGACCCACGCTGGCTCTTGCCTGGGTTAGGGTGTTGACAACTGCTTGATTTGATTTTTATAGGTTATTGAAGGTTTGAGGAATATGCATGCTTGAAATAGCAACAGAGAAGCATGGTCTGAGGGTTTATGCCATGCAGTGGGTTCTTTGGATTTTCGTAGGACAAGTTTGAGAAACAATGAACCATTTTGGCACAACAGCCTCCAAGGTTGTCGGAAAAGTGGATTCTTATCAACAACGTGCCTGAGGTTCCCTGCTCTTTTCAAACTGGTTGAAATTCTTGAAAAGCATGTGAAGCCAACTGAGCATCAACATTTTAGGGGTTTGCGAGCAATAAGGTCACATACACGTGTATGTGTATGTGTTTGTGTCTATATACAATTACAACGATTGTACAAAGACGGGGTAATACCACCGTGTGTACTGGGTTCTGCAGGGCTCCCGAATGGCAATAAAAAGGTCGTTGAATAAAGCGTAGAGAAGTTCACCCAATGCAGCCCGGACACATGTAGATGATGGTCCAGCTCCGAAACAGAACATTCAATGACAGAAACAGGAGCTCCTCCTCTTCGAAGGAAGTCAGCTCATGCTCTCTGCTATAGGTGCTGTACCTAAGTTCTCAAGTATTCCCAGGAAACAGCTGATCTGACCTCGGGTCTGGACTTAGCTACCTCACAGAAACAAGATACTACTTGGGGCCCTAGATACGAGAAGGTCAGCTGGATGGCTGCCAGCAAGAGGGTTGGAATGCACCACCCTGCAAGAATGGAGGAGCGCAGGCTCCACATGCGCTGCATCTGCGGATTGGTATGATTCATCTGCTTGCCTGCGTGCGCACTAGAGGCCAAAGACATATACAAGCTTCGATGTATGAGCCCGTCCAGGATTCGCTACCCGAAAGAGCCCCTAACATACGAGCCCCAGGAGAAGGGCTAGCTTCGTCAGGGTTGTTATAAAAGCCATGATAAGTCTCAGCAAGCTCAGAAAAGAAGAATATTCTGACAAGTCCAGTGGCTCAGCCAGTTGACCATCAGTACCAGAATCCTTGACAGTGTTTATGAACGCCATGGTGAGATCTACTCTAAATCAGCATCTGAAAAAGGCTATGGGAACGAGCGCGTGTTTCAAAGGGCCCGAGGAGGCCGGTTCTTTGGGACACTTTGGGGTTCTGTCCGCAAAGATCCGTGCAGGCTTCTTTGAACCATTCTTGCTAGCATTTTCCATGATCAGTATTATGTTGCTCTGAAATCCTGCTAGACCTATAATGAACATGATGTTTTCAGTACTTCCTTAAGGTTATACTGCAATAAAAAACAGAAAAAACCCAATTCCTAAGGAGACTACAGTACTCTGTTGCCCAGCATCTGCAAGACATGCCGAAAGGCACCCGCAGTCATAACCACCCAGCAAACGCGAGCCCAACTTGCGCTGTTGAAGTCGTCGGACAATGCCTGGGTTCCAGCAAATACCTATTTGGGGGTTTCCTAAAATTAGGGGTGCCATTTTGGGGGTCCCCATAATAAGGATTATGATTATAATGTATTGGGGTCCCTTATTTTGGGAAACTACCATCTTCCGCAGGGTTAGGAAATTGTTGACAGTTGGGCTTCATTTTTGAGGTTCCAAGTTTGAAGCCGAAGAAGAATACAACATTTTGCTGACACTAGTTTCTAGCCTACTCAAACAGAAATCCTAATCCTTGAGCCCATATGCTTTTCGATGCCGGTCACAAACACCCCAACTCTTAACCCCTCTGATCCCAGTCTCCATTTCATCTTCCATTTTCTTTTTTACTTGATTCCATTCTTGGGGATAACATCCCTAAACCTCCAACCTAAACCTTAATTGCCTGAAGCCAAGCTGCCTGCAATTTACACATCCCTCAAGCGACCAACACCACTGCTTCTGACGCCTGAAACGAGATCTGCTGGTACTCATCTCAAACCCTGATGCCATCCTCAATTTTGTTGACCCGCCCCGCCGGTCCCAAGACCATCTTGATGGGAATAAATATCAATTCACTTTCGGAAGCCGTTTAGGGACACCCGCTCCCTACTGAAGGCTGCTATTTGCCCTTGGGGATAGGGATTCCTTAAAGGGAGGCTGGAAACTATTCTCGTGACATCAGAAGTCCGAGATGCTTCCCACCTGGCCAAGCCCCAGTAGGAGCAGCAGGCAAGCTCGCAGGATGCGCAGACGAGATGGAAGTACCAGGTCACCTGTTTTTTTTTTGTCTTTTTTGTTTGCACAACCTCGAAGACCAACTAGCCTGGATTTAAAACTTGAAGGGCTTTGATTGACTATGCGCAGAATTTCATCACTCTAGTTTGTACACCAAAGCCTCCAACAACAAGCCAAGGTTTTTCATTGCCAATGCCCGAAGCCAGAACCCCTCCAGCAATTCTAGCACTGTCTGCTGTGTGCAGGATGCTTTAGCAGGGGCCATTTTGCCTGCAGGTACAGTCCCCCTTAAGTAGATAGAATATGGCTTTGGGTAAATAATAATAAGATCCCCACATAGTCCATATTCTATCTACTTAAGGGGGACTATATGTTAATAAACTATCCCATGCTTTATGATCCTCGCGCCTGGAACAAGTTCTCCCAAAGGCAGTGCACAATACCCTGGATCGATAGCTTGGAGAAGACTGCAAGGTCCTCACTTTCGATTCGTGACATAGCCATGATGATGTCCATGTCCAACCTTGGTGTTCCATCAGTTGCCAGGTTCAGGGCAAAAGTTTTTGAAAGGTTGTCAAGTCAGTGGGCGCCCTACAAAAGAGGGGCCGTAAAATAGAGGGGGCCCAAAAACGGATCAAACCTCTACAGCCGCTGATATCACGAAAGCCCTCGACCCTAGAAAAGGGCAGGTGCAAAGATGAGCATCCGCTACACAATGAAGAGGCACCTCTATACTGAGCCCCAAACGCAGGATCTGCAAGAGTGGCAAACACCCCTGCTTTTCTCATGAAACCTGTTAGGCTTGCAAAGGTTGCTCCACAGAGCCAAATCTTCAAGGGAGTTTGGACATGCGTTTTGATCTTAACTCCAGAATAAGAGATTTTGCAACATCCCGTAGTCTCGAGTTCTTTCAAGTGACAACCCCGACATACATCCAAAGCAGTTCAAAGGACCAATTCCAGATCTGTCTTGCAATTGGCCCGGCAACATGTTGGGTATCAAGAGGGCCTTGACGCAAACGCTGGCGATGTGATCGCGGCTCTGTCTGGATTTGTGGACTGCCTGTTTGTCTGCTTGGGTTTGGGGTTTAGGGTTGAGTTCGACAAAATTTGGCTCCCGTTCTAGTACCCCCAAGTTGCCCCCAACCGTGGAAGAATGATTGCGTACTTGGAGGATTTGCAAATGTTGGTCCCCTTTCTCTACGGGCAGGGTAGCATATTGATCACTGATAGTCTTTCCCCGGACTTCTTCTAGAATGATAATTGACTTCACCCCAAAACTGTACTTGACGTCTTTCAACCTTTCTATCGTTTCCAGTCCGCTAAACCTCCGTACCTGTGTTGCCTAGCCTTACCAAAGGGCAACCCAAGAATTTGAAACCCCAAACCTGGGCAAGTGATGATTTCAACAGTTTATGTGCGGTTGTCAAAACCATGAGCTTTCTTTAGGCCACCAGAACAACTTGGTGCCTTATAGTACTAGACGTAGGAACTCAAGAAGGGACCATATTTTTGACAACCTAGTATGAAAAAAGTATGCACGGATCATGCATGAACAGCTTGGGGGTTTGAGTACAACAGGGCTGGTTTACACAGCTGTGGCATCTGGGGTTTGTGCTGGAAGCTGTGCTAGCCTTAGGGCGGCACACAAAGTTCAAGTTCTGATTTCGCCAGCTTCAGGAGGATTCATTGGGGCGGGCAAAACGCTCCCGCCCTCCACTGTTCGGATGTGCAAAGCTCCTCCTCCAAATACTTCAAAACGATGAATAGCTTGTGGAAGCTAAATAGGTCTTTCTTTTCAGGCCGCGATCCTCAAATTGCCGTCTAAACCCCAGGCTCTGCCAGCAAATCGCAACAAGCTAATATCAGAGCAACGATGGGTTCACACCAGAGTACAGGGAAGACTAAAACTGAGAAGCCTGAAGCCCAACGTCCAGAAAACAACTTCAAGTGTACGTCCAGCTTAGCTGCTGGAATGAAATCTGCATGCCACTGGATGTTTGTCTGCTGCTCGAAGGACTTCTGGGTGTCAAACTTCCAGCTTGGGATGAGAAGGCCTCAGCAAATGCAGGATCCAGCAGCAAAATTGAGTAATGAGGATAAGTTCAGGCTTTGGGGCAAATATACCAACAGTGTCACGGAAGAATGCCATCCACCAGCAAGAGGTCCTACATGGGGGTTGGGGACTGCAGATGTGCACAGTGTAAGGTTTAGGACGATTTCTGGTTCAAGTTCCGTGCCCATCTGTATCAAGTATAGAAGGTCAGATGTGCATTTGGACCTGGGTTGGTATACGCGAGACTGACTCAAACAACCATGGACGACAGAGGTGGCTACTACTGGTTCATTCTGGGTTCTCAGCGGAATCTTGTTCAAGTAAATTCAACTTCCCGAAGCTACAGCATGAGCAACAGATTGGCATCCATCGCGCTGCAGATGAACATGTGTTGGAAATTAAAACATCATTCCAGAAAAGGCAAGCGGCTATCTTGCACAACTACATCGGGCCGATAAGTGCAGCGCATGGACAAGTTGTTGAAGAGACCTCAGCCATTCTTGCTCAAAAATGAGGCGCTCCAAATGTAAAGACGCACACATAGAGCATTGCACAGCATTTAAATGTTCAAAAAGTGGGCCTTGGCTGGGGTTCCTCCTGCCACTTGGGCAATGCTCCCCGGGGACGTAGCTCTTTCTTTGTGGGGCGTGGGGCTTAGATACCCAAAATTTTTTCCGGCCATGATCAAGAGTCCCCAAAAGCTGGTCTTGTTCGGCACATTGTGCTTTGCCACATCCTGCACTCATCTTCGCTGTCGGGGAGCTTAAGGTAAAGAGGCGGGAATCTTGAAGGCCTTTTTGAAAGCCCGCTTTCAGAAAAGCCTGCAGCAAAAACCAAATGTGGTACAGACCCGCTTGAAGGGCTCTCTGGTCACGGCTCAGACCAAATAGCGCCAAACAGCTAGATCATCCCGAAGTGTCACGGAAGCCCGTGACAAGGACATCTCAAACCATGCTATGGTGAGTCGAAGTTCTGTTTACCAAGGGCAAGGAAGTTTGCAGCAACCGTAGGGCTCCATATTGAAGGGAAGGATGCAATGATCCGTAGGCTTCTCAGGATGCATGTTGCACTACATACTGTGATAATGTGGGTTGGTAATAGGAGCATTGTCTTCGTGCCTTGCACAGCATCTCCCAACATTCAGCTCAGGTGGAAAGGCTGGCGCATTTGATCTCCCAAAATCTTAGGCACCTTACGCCCCAGACTCCCAATCTGGGACGATCCCGAAGGCTCCGATTTGAAGGCGCACTGGTTTGTCAGCCTCTGAAAAATCCTAGGGCTCAAAGCGTCCTGCACATTTGGCTCCACCATCAGGAGATCCAGCATCTCGCTCGCCGCAGAAGGCGCCTCGAAAAAGATGGCCGCCTTCAGGACAAAGAGTTGGGTGTTTGGATGCTCTAGACATCTCTAGAAAACCAGTCACGCCACCTTCCTTGTGCAGAATGGCTTCTGGCTAAGGAGAGTTGAAGGGCTTGGAAGAGAATAGTCAAATCGCACTACGAGCATTTATTGCTCACCTCCCTTCTTCCCAAGACTTTCACTCCCTAATGTCCAAAGGCGTTCACGCTACGTCCTCCCTCCGCTCCCAAAAAACCTCCTAAGCTGACACGGCATCGCATAAGTTAGTGTCGGGATGCATAATTCTGTCTGGCAATTGACATGCTCGGACCACCGGACAAGTAAAATAGGCTGGTAGTGAGAAGAGGTGCGGTGCAGCTTTATGTTCACCGCATGTTTGAAGACGACCATTAAATCAAAGATCTCGGATGTTTGAAGGGTCAAACGCAGCACCTGTCTCTGGAGACATTGCCGCTACAAGAGGCGTGAGCTCTTAAGTCTGTCGCTTGAAGCTAGCTCACATCAGTCAGGCTGCCATCATGTCAGTTCGTCCGGAGAGCTGGCAGTCGAATCGAAGGTTGTGCAAAAGTTCGGGTTGACGGATGGAGCGGCGCGCCAGCTCCCGAACGACCTCCAAAGCAGCATCCTCATTCCTTAGTGCCATCAACGGCATAACAGGGCGCTCCTAAAGTTGCATTTATGCAGCGGAACAAAATCTGTCTACTTTAGCTCGGGTCTAAACCCGATCTTAAGTTATGGGCTTCCAAAAATGACGATTTGGCTTCGGAAGATTCTTGGAGAGGAGTTCGGACATATCGAGTCTCATGTGCTCGGCACGCCTTTTGCCGGCCGAGCGACCTGCTGGTCACCCGTAAAGCTCGAGCTAAACTGTTTTTCCAAACGGAAAGACCTCCCAAAAGTATGCCCATCTCTTTTGCACACAAAAATATCTGCAGCCCAAGGTCAATCCCACCAGGAAGTAGATGTCGCTGAAGAACGTCCTTGGCGCGCATGCAGCTCAGATGGTACGACGACTCAACTTAGAGCTGTACACCTGGAATCTGGCTTGCTGTTAAGGAACTTCAATTAACGGTACTACAATAAGGAGATCCTATTATGTAGTATATACCCCTGTTATGATAACTTAATTTCAGTTCCTTATCAGCAACCCTGGAATTGGACTTATTCTGACTAACTTTATAAGTTACCGCGCTGATTGGTAAGGACGCGTGGCTTGCTCCAAAAACCTCTCGATTCCTGAGCTGTCTACCCATACTTTCAAGCCCTCCTGTTGAAGAGGGTTCCGCTTCCCTCAAGCCCAAACCCGTGAACAAAGTCTCAGTGTAACAAAGTCCAATCGTTGTCTCATCCCCTAGAGCTAGGCCCCCAAAGTAACCCACCAAAACGTCAGCAACCTGAAACTTTCATCCCAGAGTCGGTTCGGACATGCGGCTGTTGAGACAGGGGGCCAGGACGTGCCTGGGGCACTCACCGCAGGTAAAAATGAAGGCTTCATGGACCTCTTTGTTACTAGAAAGGAATGTGCTGGATGTTGGGCGGAGTGGGCTTCAGTCACCTTATCGAGGAGAGGACCAATCGTAGCAATGAAAACCATAGCAGAAAGGTGGTGATAGTGGTGGTGGTGGCGGTGGTGGTGGTGGTGGTGGTGGCGCCAGTGGCGGTGTGGTTGTTGGTTTTGTTGTTGTTGTGGTCGGCGATGGCGGCGACGGTGGTGAGCAGCAGCAGCAACAGCAGGAGGTGGTAGTCGGCGGTAGATGCACTGCATCGCTTTGAGGATGCATGCGTAACTTCTGACATCGCATCGGGATGCTGTGACCTTGAAGGGACTCATAAACGTCTGGCCAACCCGGAGGGATCATTGATACGTCGTGACATGTGATCCCTACATAGGTGGGGACACTTGTAGCAAAATCCCAAGCTAGCCGGGACTTTACTACATACCTCTTGGAACGATCAGTTCGGGTATGCTGTTTATCGAGCATACTCATGCTGTCCGGGGATAGCCGGTGGAACATCGCTGTAGTAATGGCAACGCTAGACATGGACAGTCGTTTGCAAATGGAAACCAGGATGGATGGAAGGAAGAGGAGTAGCGGTAAAGGTAGTAGTAGCAGTGGTTTACTACTAGAAGGACTCTTGCCGCCATAGCCCAGAGATACAACCTTGACTGCTAGTACACCATGGCTCCCATTACGGCCAGCACGGCGGCGACCTCAAACTGGCTGCAACAAAAATGGTCTCCAACATGGCCCGAGGTGCATCATGTGCTTCGGGAAGCCTCGTTCGCAGATTGAGCTTCTGAATTTTTGGGGCTCAGAGGTTAGGTATTTGGCTTCAATGATCCAAAGGGGGAGATTATTGTCGCAGCTTTCTAGGTGAAGGCTGAACTTTGGAGGTGTCAAAGTGTAGTGGGGCTTGATCGTTTTTGCCAGGGTCAGCGTGTAGGATTGAAGCTCTCCTTCACCTTCTTTGCCCTTGGCATAGCGGGCGAGCCTAGCTGTAGAGTGGATTAAGCTTCGACCACATTCAGGTCCTTGCAATAGCGATTCAGCAAGAAACGCACCGACACGCCCCCGCTTCTACACTCCAAGCCGTTTGGCATCAACTTGACAAACCTGCGAGTAGCTTTGATCAGCACTTCTCAGCCATCTCAGAAACCCGGGACTGGGTGGTGAGAGTTTGAACAGGCTCTCAAACTCTAATCTAATAGCCTTGAGCTCTGAACAGCTTAGTCTATCAAATGCTAGCCGACATGTTTAAGAGTTGCTTCGGCTAAAGTGAGGAGCTTTCGCCAGTGGCAAACCCTCAACAATCATAAATGCAAGCCGGGAACGGCTCCCATCCAATGCTGCCAGCTCCAGGGGAGTCTTCCCGGCCATCTGCTTGTTGGGATTCCTGAAGTGCAGGATATGCCAGTTTCTAAATTCAGTGGGCCTTTGGAATACGAAGAAATTATGGTTGTAGCTGATAAAGGATTCAAAAAGGTAACAAACTTCCATCTCAGTACAGCTTGGGGAAGGAGGCTTCCGTGTTGGGGGGTTTATCAAAGCGAGACTTTCAGGGCATAACAGAAAGCGAAGGCTTTCGGGGGGCTTTGCGTCAACCATATGACAACTCCCACAAGTGCTTTCCTTGAAGCAGGCTTCAGCTTTATTGTGCTTTGGCAAGCCCCTCAGAGCATCAGTACAGGCAGGTTCTCTCCAGAGCCAAAGATTGAGTGAGAGCCATACTCATAGCTAAACAGTTGAAGAGTTTCCTCCTCAATGGTGTGGAGCCTCAATCAGTCAATGATGGCATTCTCGGAATGCCTATATACTATCTGTTTGACCCTAAGCCGGAAGAGCATTGCAATTTGTTCTTCACTCGAGAGTCGAATCTGGAACGCTCACGTCCAGCGTTGCTCCGTGCCTTTGACAGGGTGGTTGATATCAGGATCCCTGTTGGAAGTTTGATGGTGGTGGCCGTGGTAGCGGAGGTGGCGTGTGGTGGAGGGCATGGCGGCAGTGCTCGCCGACCGCGAATTCATAGCAATAGCTCCATGCAAGGAGCTCTTTTCATCAGGAGCAAAAGCATGATAGACAGGATGCATTAGACAAATTGACATTGCAGAAACAATGCATGCACACCTAGCCAGTATGCAACTGCGGCATGCCTGATAGTCCCGCAGAGGAGTCCCCGAAACAAGCAGCACATCATAATGATGGGGATTCCTGGCGATGAGGCATGTAAGAAGGACGAGCAGCAGCACGTCCAGAATGGCACCGGCATTGATTACACCCCTCTCTAGGGCTCTGACGGAACTTAGATGACTAACCCGTTCCCGAAGCTCTTCACTCTATAGCCAAAGCACCCTGAGGACTTGAGGCAAAGCAGGGCCCATTCCAAACACATCGTTTCCTGCTTCATGAATAACGATAAGGTGGCGACAGGACAGCGTGATTAGCAGCCCGCGCCTGAGAAGGGCCTGCACAAGTTGAGCCACCTGGCAGGGTCAGAAGTGCTTTCCAGCGTTACCATCAACATTTCTGAGCTGACTAGGTTGTGGAAGGGGTTGCGACAGGCAAGACCATGAACATGCAGATCTTGCAGGAAGCGCCTGGGAGGGACGTTGGCTGAAGGATCAGTTTACATCATTCTCAAGGATACTGGGTCCTGTCAGAACTTTTTTTTTTTACAAGAACATTTAGGCGCACCCCACGGCGTGATGACATGAGCCTGGCTTGTGTGGATGAGTTCATTGACCTCTCAAATACCTTACGAATCCTTAGAGCCTAGGCCTAGACCTCAAACCATCCGAACTCTCACTCAGCCCCTGCTTCTGCTTCCCCCTAACCTCCCCCCAAACACCCGAAACCTTTCCGCTGAGTGGGGGATTTTGTCACGCTAGCGCCTGGCTTTCAGCCTCCAGACCGCCTTCGATGCCGCGCATGGCCACAAAGTGTAACGGGCTCACGCCGTCCTGGGATGTCTAGAATAAGGTTCATGGCGAGGATTGTGAAATGAGAAGGGGCTGTCCCAGCGAAGGCAAAATGGATTTCCAAGTGAAGGTTTGGGGCTCAGGGCCGATTATCTTTTTGGGAATCATAGACATGGTTCTTCTAGGGTTAGGGCTGAGGAGCTGAATGAGTTGGTTGCAGGGAAGTTCCGTTTCAACGCCTACTGCTGTTTTACTTCCTGGTTCTTAGTAGGGGATAAGGGAACGGGGTTATATAGGGATCATGATCCTTTACTGTCTACTAAGAAACAATACGTGTAGTTATTTAATGCGTGGCCTTCTGACAGTTCGGGGTCCTTTATGGCGGTCACTGTACCCAGGTTGGAAACCAGGATCATTTGAAGCGGTCCTTCGGCCTGAGGCTATCAATCCCTGTCACGTGCTCTTGAGCTCGATGGAAACCAGGAATATACTGACCTTGTCATTCTTGTGCCACAAGTGAATAGCAACTTTGGGTAAACCCCTGGATGCGACAGGGCAGCCTAATGCACGCTTACGTTGCGCATCACAGCCCCTCAAACCTTCCAGCCAAGCATCCTTGTTCCCTGCACATGCGTCAGCCCCATGAGCCAACAGCCAGAGAGATAGCTCTACGTTGCCTGCATTGGTCGCGTCGTGGAGCGGTAAATAAAAATCCTCATCCCACTCCCGCACATTTTCGCCAACGTCGTTGGTGTTCAAGTTGGTGTTCGCATTCGTGTTCCTATCGGTGTCAGAGGCGATGGGCTCCACATGGTGGACCAAGCATGGAGTGTTGACGTATGTGGCAGAGTCGATCCCCTTAACTTGCATCACGTGCTGCATCAGCACCTGCATGACCTCTGCTGCGCATGGAACACTTTTATCGTGGGCGCCATGGGCCGGTTTAGGGGCCTCTACTCTTGGACCCTGGATTGCTAGCAAGCTCTGGCCCCCCTGTCTCCCTCACCGCCCAAGGTGTCCTTTGTCATATCTCAACGCGATAGCACTTTACATGTTCTAAGTAATGCGCCGAACAGCGGCCGATGTGTGTAAACCGCAAAAAAAAAACTTATGGCTGAGATTCACTACAAAAGGTAAGGAAGGCTTCCACTTTCTACCATCCCTGTGCTCTGCAAATTGCTCGTAGGGTAGATTGGGATCCTCAGAATCGGGAGTTGAGAAGATCAGGCGGGGAAATCTACACAACAACCACTATCCTGAAACAGGAACCAGTTGCTGGCACAGCTCCAAGCCCGGACGCGACGTGGATCGCATCTAACCACGCCTCGTCCAAACTGCCCGGCTTCAGCCGGTACTTTGCCTGTAGTTTCCATTTTATTGTCCATTATCCCATAGAACCCCAGTATACTATAGCAGTTTCCATTTTATTTTCCATTCTCCCAATAAAGGCCCAATATACTATAGCAGTTTCCATTGTGTTGTCCATTATCCCCTATAACCCCAATATACTATAGCAGTTTCCATTTTATTGTCCATTATCCAATATAACCCCAATATACTACAGCAGTTTCCATTTTATTTTCCATTATCCCAATATAGGCCCAATATAGCCCCAATATAACCCTAATATTACCCCAATGCGTCAGCTGGCTCCCAGCCGATTTCCGCAAAGAGAGTTTTCTTTACCCGCAGTCGCGTTACGTGCATCGTGCTTTGAGGCTAGGATGTGGATTGGACTACAGTTACTGCAGGTTTAGTACGTAGGGGTCTTGCTCAGGCTCCCGCTTGTACGCATTGGGTTTTTGTTTGAGGAAGCACGTGAGAAACTCAGTTTTCAGGTTCACAGCAAACTGGGAAAGTCACACCTCCTTGTTGAAAGATTCGACCCAGTTGCCTTTGCGCTCAGATCTTCAACTGTCAGGTAGGGCAGCAGCCTCGCTACGCAGGAGTTCTCATGGAGCTGCGCAGATACCCAGACGGCAAAGTGGAGCAGCTGTGCTCTCAGGGGGCGCCCCTTGTAGATCATGATCTTATTCATCTCCTTTCAGGGAAGAATTTCTGGTACCCTGAAAAGTTGCAGGTCTGGTGGTTTAGAGGCTCTACTTTCATTTCCAGGACTTGGGCGTCTTTTCTGATTTTCTTTTGAGGGTGCAGCTGATTAATCCCAATATCTACCCTAATATACTATAGTAGTTTCCATTTTCTTTTCCATTATCCCACTATAACCCCCCAATATAGTACCCTTTCTCCTCAGCAGTTCCACCTCTGATTTTCTTCCCATAGAGAGCATCCAGGAGCTTGTCCCGGGCCTTCCGCACCTCATCGATGTCCAGGCGATCATCCAGTTCCTCTTTTCTGGATATAGTAGATAGAATATGGGATATATGGGGATCTGATTATAAGATACCCAAAGCCATATTCTATCTACTTAAGGGGGACTATATGTGCCCAAATTATGGTCCTGATATCATCCTCCCACCCGAAACCCTAAACCCTGTGAGGCAAGTCCAGGGTTGACCACAAACCTGGCAGATCCCAATGGCAGTTTCACCGTTTAACCGTCTCCCACAACAGGAATGGCACCAACGCTCCCGTTGCTTAGGTTGCTGTTAAGGACCTTAGATTATGTTACAACAATGGGTATATGTATATATCGTAAACAATAGGGTGTCCAAATATATATCAACTTTAATCAAGTCCCTTAACAGCAACCCAGTCTAGGGCCTTCCTACGTGCTGGTAGGACTATCAGGAGTAATGCTAGTGGATATCAGCTGGCACTGCTTTCCGAAGAATCACAGAATGCCAAACCCTCAGAGCCGTGACCCCTTTAGGGCCCCTGGGGATCTACCTGATCTGAATCCCTCCCCTGCCCCCAGTCATTCTTCGAAGAAAGCATGACATTCTCCAGGAAGTTGATTGGCAAGTCAAGTATTCCGTCCGGGTCTACCTTGCCGCTGCCTCAGGACACGTAGCATTTCAGATCTGTGGCCGTGATCGCCTAATCTACTACCCATCCCCCACATGTATGGACATACCTTCAGAATCTCTGTTTGAGCAAGAGCTCTAGGATCTGTTAAAACTGCTGAGCTTCTCCTGGTGTAGAGCTTCGAAAAACAACGAAAACGAACTAGAAATCCGCAAAATCGTGTTTTTGATAGTCGTGAGGCTTTGTGAGGCTGGTTGATGGCAACAGATTAATTGTTTGAACAATCTGCAGTGTGCCCAGCTGCCAACTAATCACCCAATTAAACTTGGTCACAGAACTGTTTGCGGAAATCTTGTCCAAACGTGTCCCACCTTATGACAAGGTTTCTGTAGCCCTCATCAAAATCAGCATGGAAGCTTCAGCGTGCAAACTTCAGGTACATACCTATTTGGGCATCTACATTCTTCTGACTTTCGACTATGTAGTGCTAGCAAAGCGTCTTCCGTGGAACAAGGAGTGCAATGCCTCTGGCAACCTACGGAACTCTTAAGCTTTATGCGGCATCTCTGCTCTGCGCCTGGCTCAACCTTAAGGCGTTGTTTTGACTAAAGCCTGCGATCGGCAGCGCAGGCTTTCCACATGTGCAGAATTGCTACCATGAAATTCAACTCTCACCCCGCCCAACCTCAGCGCCCAGAAGCCTCAAAAAACTCTACACGTCATGTACTTGACTCCATAAGGCCAATGTGCAGCAACTGGAGTTCAGAATCCCAATCCACTCCTACAAACTGACAGATGAGACCAGAGAAAGACCCAGGTGCGCGAAGCGCCCAGTTGTTCGGACAAGGCTTGCCGCGTCCGCAGGCTTCTTTTGGCCTCCACCTTCAGGGTTCAGGGGCAAAGCCATGCCTGTAAGGAAGTTCCATACGCCCAGGTTCAGGGTTGCAGCACAGGTTGCAACTTGGTACGCTTGTCTATTTGTGCGCGTGATCCACGGTTTTAGGCTTCAGGCTTTGGCGGAGCACGGCAATCAACCATGAAGGGAACCTGTCGGAACCTGCAGATCTTGCACAATGGGGAATGGTCTCAGTGCGAAAAATGGCGCTCCCGCTCCTAACTAGACCTTGTTGGAATCCTTCAGACACGCGCATCATGTTTCTTGAAGGGGAAGGCTTGAGAGCCTGCAAATACTCCCGCTGAAACTTAGGATTTTGCAGCATGAAGTGAGGACTCTGGAGGGACCAGTCAATTGGGGTTAATGCATGTTCCTGCGGAGGGGACCGGGTGGCCAAGCTCTGGCCTTCTCCTCCGAATCAGGCACTCCTGAGACAGATTTTGCGCTGGAAGTTTCCGGTTCATTTATTCTGGTTTGGGTGGGGCACAAACAACGCGTCTGACATCGTGCTCGAAACAGGCAGAAAGTACACCTAAACCACTTCCCTCTCAAAAAAGGCACCAATCAACTCTAAAAAAGCAATGGTAACTCACTTCCAGGTCTTATCCATTCCTTACTGCCCCAGCCCCTAACGGCGTTAAACCCTAAACCACAAGGAAGACAACATTTTCCAATCAGCCCAAGGCTCTCTCATAATCCGGGCCCCGTTGAAACATGGCATTGATTGTTTGCATCGCGCCCGAACTGCTTGCAATTCTGCTTGTGTAGCAGGTGTTACATCCAGCCTTGTGTGCAGGAGTGTGATGGCGCGTAGTGCCACTGCTAAGTAGTGAGGTGATTCGGCAGTCGTAGTGACAGAACCCATCAATGGCTACTCATGGCTTGGATCTCTATGCTCTTTCTGCATCTTCCTCATCTCAGCTGAGAAGGCCAACGTCCGATCGAAAGCGCGCACGATCCATGATCATACGCGGCAAGCATTTCGGGGAACTACCATGGGCAGCTCCAGGGTTTAACGTGGAGGGGGGTTGATGCCTCGTGGTTCGGTCGCACCTAATTACTTCTTCCCATCTGTATAGTGCTGTGACCCCCAAGCTTCCTCCCGAAGCGTGCGCTTCAGGCCATCGTCCTTCGCGAAAAGGATGAATCAGCCTCTCCCGGCTGGTTTAGCATCATGCTCTACGACCTGGAGGGTCTGTATTCACGCTATCTTGAGAGAGGTTTCCCCATGTCAACTTCTAGCTTTCTGTACTCTGGGCTCTGAACGCATGAGATCTTCGGCTCTGCACGCCTGAAGTCCCTCATTGGAGGTTCCACGTCCAGTGCCCAACCGCGCCAGTCCCAACATCAATGACTCAACGATCTTCTCAAGTCAAATGAAGATTAGTTTGGTGTAAGGCAGCTTCAAGCGAAACCTCGCGGGGGAGTTGTGTGACACGGGAGAGTTGTGTGACTGGAAACACCCACACCCCGGCCATCAGCTGAGCAGATGACATAGCAGTGGGCGTCCAGCTTGCGTGCCGTACCACCTTCAAGGCGAACTTCAGGCCCTTTCTGGGGAAAAGTTTGTCACATTATAGTCCCCCCTAAGTAGATAGAATATGGCTTTGGGTAGATTAACACAAAGATCCCCATATATCCAAATTCTATCTGCTTAAGGGGAACCATAAGTTTGAGGGGCTCAGTCGGGAGGGATGGCCCTCGTGTAGTCCTTGAAATCTCAATCCACTCCTTCACTCGAAGCTAGCTTCCAGATTCTGAAGGAATGATTCAGCCACCCTAGGAGCCAAGTAGCTCAGGTTAATTTCATCCCCCATTTAAAGCTTCAACGGCTTGAGACACTTGTGAGATTCATACCAACCCCGGCTACGTTTCAAATCTAACGACGGAGCTACAAGACAAGGCCTGCTAGGATCCACTAACCTGAATGCGGAAAGGACGTGAACAAGCCTTTGAAGCACCGCAAAGCCGCACTGCCATTTGCACGTGGCCAAGTCCTGGACCCTTGCGTGTTACATACCCCTTTAAACCTCTAGAGCACGAAATCACCTCTTACCAGTCTATGTGAAAGTTCTCCTGTTCCAGACAACTTGCAAATGTGGTTGTTCCTGAAAATATGCAGATCCCCCCCCACCCTCCCCTGTGTTCCTAAGAGGCCCTCCACCCACCCACGACATTAACACACATGAAAGAAACATTTGGCACCCACCTCGCCTTGATGGAAGTGGGTTCAGGCGTCGAAGCTGGCATCCAGCTCATGAATCTGCGGTCACGTGGGGCTATCTCTATTACGCAGCCCAGCTGTATACGGAGGCTATATGTGGGGATGATGCGGGACTCCGGGTCCTGTAAGGAATGATATGCGGGCATTTCGGAAACACAGCTCTGAACAAGAGTATGAGGGACTTGAGAACGGTCTCCACGTCAGGGATTATGCAAGGGGATCCTCATGCTGAGAAATAAAAGCCTAAACGCTAGAGAGCAAGACAGCTTTAAAATGAGATACCAGCTGCAGCTGAAGAATACAGTGATGATTTCGGAGGCTACTGGCAGATGCATTAGCTACCCATTGATAAGCATGATAGGAACAGCAAGTGATGACTGATGAGGTAAGTCAATGGAAGAGTACGGAAATATAAGCAACAGTCGAAACTCCAGTACCCCCCTTAGTAAAAATGACACCCCTTTAAGGAGCTGAGACTGAAGTCGATTCTGTGAATCACGCTCATTGGAACACACTTGCCGTAGCAGTTGTCTGGGTACTGTGGCAGCACGATAGCCTGCCATGCGGGTATGTGGTAGGGCAAGGAATTGACATGACATCCCATTTCAAGATGCTACTATGTGAGCTTGGCCCGTTGTTTTAAGACGCTGCTGCATATGCCGCCGCGGACCCAAACTGACCCGGGCTCTGACGGTCCAACCCGGTGCATGACAAGATAAATATCCCGACCGAATCTAAAGTTGCTTCGGGGTCATCCCGTAAGCTTTGGATGGCAGTTCGCAGCGTCTCAGGTTGCAGAAGATGGGCATCACCAAAGCCACCGAAGCAACTTGCACTCCAAAGACCATGTCCTCATTTGAAGTACTCCGTCCAAAATTGGCCCCCAATGCTCCCTGAAGCGGCATCAAAAGGCCTGGAGTTGGCATGTCCACTTGCGGCTGCAGACGTGGGTGAGCCGGACTGTCCAGTGGAAGGACGGATAGGACAGAAGTCTTCTTAGTCAACCAGAGGATATAGACTCGCACTCCTGACTAGGAGATAGATTGGCAAGGGTCACTAGCAGTGGTAATTTTTGGGGAATCCGCAGGTGAAAAGTGGCTCTTGCTTCATGGAGTCTGTCATTGCAACGACGCAAGCACCCAATTGTGACGCGACTCATGGCATCTGCCAAAGAAGCATGGTATCTGTGTATGGCACTGCCAGAAGAAGGCAAGAGGAAGAGACGCACGTACAAAGAGCAGCTCTGAATGCTGTCCAGATGCACCGTCAAAGAACATCATGTTGCTGACGGAGATATGGTAAGCGTCAATTCCAAGGTACATTACAATTGAAGCTCCTCAAGCCCTGCTCGCAAATCTAAATGATTATGGTATCCAGCAGGGAACGCATCACAAAATGTTACCACTGAGCTGTAGACGTAGCAAGGGCTCTTAACAACATGATTTGCCATTTCTCTTTGAGCATGTTGTTTGACAAGGGTGATTGCTAGGGGGCATTGAAAAATGAAGGATCAACACCAAGCAACTGACACGCCTTCCAAAGCAGTGGACGCATGCGTCTTAAACTATGTAGGCCTGGCATGATAGCAGACCGCAACTGAAACCCACGATCCTGCAGCAGAACACCACATTCGCTGCACTGTGTTCCTATTACGCCTATGAGCATCCATGGCCTTATGAGCCATAGTCCAAACTCCTAGTATCCCCCTTGATAACCCCTACAATACTCCCCTATACAATCCCCTATATAACCCTTTTAAGGAGTTCAGACTATAGGTCATATTAGTATAATGTATTTTCAAGGTCAGGTAAGATCAATAGAACTTGCCACGAGGGACTTGCTGACCAGTGGCTGGCTTCCAGCTGATGGCCCTGCCATGCAAGGCTTGTAAACCTTAAAAAGGGTTAACTCTAGGACTCTAGGGGATTGTATAGCGGAGTATTATCGGGTTATGAGGGGGGACACTAGGAGTTTAGACACAGTTCAAAAGGATTGCAGTGGGTCAGCCAGCTTCGAACACCGGTTTAAAGCTTTGGGTTACTTCTGAAAGTCTTCTAAACAGAGATCATGCTACCTTGTTGTGAAGCAGATGTCTTCAAGAGAATTCAGTTCCATCATGTAGCCAGCCTTCCGGCCACGCTGTGCCCATCACCCAGCCGGGAAGCCTCAGGACTGAAAAAGAGCTGATTCTGGAACCTGCCGGGTGCTGAGGTACGGATCAGCGGCATAGAGTATTGCTTTTGGAAAGGCCTTTGGGAGAGGCCTTGGTTGAGGACCAGGGGTCTCTTTCCGCCATACCTGCTGCAGTTTTGGATTCGCTGGTTTCGGTGTCCTTGCAATCATGAACGAGCCTTGGGCTGGGAACCTTGGGGCGGAAGACTTGTTATAGAAGAATATAGCGGCAGCCCAAATGCGCGCGCTCCATGTTTGTGTATATTAGCGCCTGTGTGCAGAACTGCTTGTCAGCAAAACACCGCAAAACACCAAGTAAGCCTAGGCTCTGGAAGCAACTTCGCAGCACCCATTTGCTGGGTTGCTGTTAATTAAGGAACTTAAATTAAGTTACCATACTGGGTATATATAGTAAATAACAGGGTTTCCCCAATATGGTAACTTAATTTTAAGTTCCTTAACAGCAACCCAGTTTGTCATGTGCGAGGCCCGGGCAGACGACAAGACATGTCGAGGAGGACCTCAAAGCAGACCGGAAGCTAAAGCTCATGTACCCTAGGAACTGAGAGAGGATCTGCGTTCCGAGCATCTGAAGCAGGAGACGTGGGAAAGGGAGGCAAGCTAGCACCAAGGTGATCTGTTGTTGCGCCTATATTTTCAATAGACTCATGGCGTTGGAGTGTTGGAGAGAACTCGCTGGTATCAAAGCTACTGAAAGAATCAGCGCTTGGAGGCATGCTAGCGAAGTGCACGAAAACAGTTACCGCGGCAAGAGTTTTTGGATGCACTGCTGCATCCTGTTGAGAGAACTGGATCCGACCCAGGTGAACCTTCATGTTGCATTTGTACGCGACGGTGGCTAAATTCTTGTCTTTGTTTCAAGTCGACTGCAAAGCAAAATCATCTGGGTATCCTTGTGGATTCTTCTTTTTGTCTTTTTTGTTTGTTTTGCTCTGGCTCGTTTAGTCAACACATTCAGGCGAAGTGCTCCTTTGAAGAAACCTTCACTGAGGTACGGGCTGCATGCATTGGTCGCGCACCTGCTAAAAGCAACAGTGTAGGTGAGGCTTGGGGCAATCAGCAATGGGAATCGGGGCTGCGGATTAGTGTTGGAGCACAAGACGAGGGGGACTTCTCCAGTACATGGTTATCGCACGAGTTCATTTAGATGGGGTTCTCTGAACAAAGCCATCCTTGGGAAGCAGGCAAGCTAAGCACTGCTGCATGCCCATAATATACATATACGGAGAAAGCTAGACAGGTGCGTGCTCGGTGCGTTCAAATCCGGACAGCTCTTGCTACCCTGCAGCAATTGCCCACGTGGACAGCACTGCATGGAGCCCTTGAAAGCGTGAGGAGCTGCAAGCTAGGCTGGAGCCCAATCCCGGTCCAAGCCGCTTCAGACTCAAGTACGAAAGTTGAAGTGCGGCCCCCTAGGTTGCAAAACTTCATGGTATGAAGGAGCAGTGTGCCCCGAGAAACC